TATAATCATACCTTTGATTAGAGGCTCCTTCAATTTTGGTTGTAGAAAACGCTACCACTTTAAGAGGAGAAGTAAACGAACGGTAATTCACGTAAAGACAAGAATTCCCACATGATTAATTTGCTAATTTGAGGGTAGGGGTTCAAAGAAGAAAAATGAAGAAAAATTATCTCTACAACTTTTTTAGCTTGGGAGGTAAGATAAGAGAGTGAAATAAGGGTCAAGGCCCCTTTTTATAGGCAAACTCTAACCCTAATATTCCTTTGACATATTCCAAGAATATTTCTCACTAATATTCATTATTTATAAATAAATAATTAAAATTTACTTAGTGCCCCCAAAAAAGTCGATTTGGTATTTTATTATTATTCAATAACAATTTACTATTTAAAATGTATATACAATAGTATATAAATTTAAATAATGATAATTTATTAATTAAAATACATATATATACACCAATATATATATATATATATATTGAAATAAATATGTAATCTTAAAAATTAAATCCAATATTAACACGACAACCTTCCAACAAATTTAATCGCATTGTAAGATTCACCAAAATACCCATTCGCCCTGAAATGACGAAATTGCTCTTATTTAAAATCTTATTTTATTTGTCTTTTAAGTGTGTGACCCGTGGACTCCTTATCATATCAACAGTGGATAATATTACAATTGACACTCAATCAATTGTCTCATTACACATCGACTCAAATTGACCTCTAGCCAAACATCATGGTCACCCAATAGATTCGGATTCAGCATATTAGCTATATGTTAACGGTATAGTTACTGTGCAATCAAATATTTTCATCATCTATTATCTCATCAAGGTTTGAAGTACATAAATAAGGTCAATTTCAAATATACAACCTTGAAATGTTTGTATTCGGTAATCAAATTAACGACTTGATAAAATTGAACTCTAGCACCTACTCAATTTCATTGTGGCCATAGTTTTGTGGTTGTTGCCATTTACCAAATTACTTGACGGGATAAATTCTCCTGTATCCAAGAGTGATGAATCATATGTCGATCCACCATAGTCATAGTGTACTTTTCAATGTAGCCAATCATTCATGTATTGATAACCCTAAATAAGACTACGTTATGCTATCGTCAAACTACACTAATATTTACACACGACGCTCTAGTGATCTCAAGTCTAAGGATCATATACACCACCATATGTTAAGGATATATTCCATAGACATTGGGGTTAACATTTGTATAGAATCCTCTGGTTGATCCATATAGTGAACTTGCCAATTGCCAGCACCAATGCGTTGCACCAAGTTGTTAGCAAACAACTTCAACATGTAAGATTTGTTATTATTTTTCGATTAGGTCGTTCAACGCTATGATAGTCTTATCGTATTATCTATATCCTTACTATTGACGTTTTTAGAATGACCACCAAATGTGCATCTCACAATCAAGACTTATTATTGCTTGATTTCCTCGTCATGGTTCTACCATTCTAAAGACATATATTATAACATATGTAAAATACGATTTACATAATACTGTGATGCCTTTTATTAATATCAACATGTTTTACAAGTAGTCAATTACTACAATAAGATTGACTCTAGTGCACCTATCCTAACAATAATTGGCCCAAGTTGGGACCATAATTTTTTATGACTATATAGAAGTTATTTTTATATACAGTATCACTATAAAGAAGTTATATTATACTTAAAAAATGATAGAAATTCATATATTCAACAATTCTTTAATAAGGACATCCTTATATACATTTGTAAGTATCATACTTGAATACTATTGGATTCATTTGTAAAATATTATTTCACTCTAATGTTTATGAATCTAATAATATTCAAACATAATCCTCACAAAATTTATGTAAGGATGTTCTTACTATAAAATTACTATTCATATATTTTTATTGTAAAAGCAAACAACTCTAACACTTATAATCTAACTATAAAAAACTAAAAATAAACATATTATTTATATTCAACCATTCATCTTCAGTTTATAAACCAATTCATTTTTTTGTGATTAAAAAAAAAAAAAAAAGCAGCACCTAATGCTACAACTTTATAATATCTTATAAGTAGGGCGGATCTAAATTTTTTTGTTAAGGTTGGTCAAAATAAAAGCTAATTGCACATTAATATTTTTGCTAAGGTAGGCCAAACTCTGGAAATTGTGTATATTAATTTTAAAAAATAAAATTAAGGGTGGGCCACCCTCAACAAGTACTGCATTTGCCCTGCTTATAAGTTATATATATCAAGCGATATTATGCAGTAAAACTTATCTATAGTGATACTTTATATAGAAATAAACTCTACATAGTCATAAAAAAATCAATTCCCAATTTGAGATAGTTATAAATAAGAATAAACTCTACATTGTAATAAGTTATAATATTTATAATTTTTGTCTTAAGAAAAGTTGCCTCCATATAGTAATAATTATATGTATATTACAAAAAAATATATGTTATGTTACGTTAAAGGTTTAAGATGAAATAAAATATTTATCTAAAGTTGTTTGATATAATGATTTATGCTTTAGAGTTGTTACTACATTTTTTAACTTGCAGGTACATTACTCGCTAGCATGAACATTTTCTTGTTAAAGTCATATATTTTTAGTTTCTTAAGTATGCTTAGAGTTTCTTGGCACAAACTTTTTGTATTTCTATACTATCATCCTCATTATTATTTTCTTTATCTTCTTGTCTAATTGTAGTAATGATTTATTCTTTAGTTAAATCATACATGACTTATTGCTCATTTGGATGATTAAAAAAGACATTAATATCTATTCGAATCTAATCACTAAATTCTACAATGATTATTTGATTCTCCTCATCCACTTCATTTATAACTTGAAATTCATCGATATCAGGGATCTTAATTTGGTAATGATTAAAACAATTGACAATAGTATGTGGCTTCACATTAATTTGTTACATAATTTTGTAATGATTAAAACAATTGGCAATAATATGTGGCTTCACATCAATTTACTGCATAATTTTATAATAATTAAAACAATTGACAATAGTCTGTGGCTTCACATCAATTTGACCATACAACAACTATATTTACAATTTCATCAAGGACACTTATCTTTGCTAGTTTCAAGACACGATCTTCTATCCATTTTAAAAGTAGACAATTGAAACATTGAATTGAAATCTTAATAATATTAAAACATCAATTGAAATCATAATACTGTACTATTAAAATATGAATTATAAAGAAATTTTTGTTACTACACTTTTATTAAATTATAATATTTTCATAGTAATAAAATTAATTAATCCTACCAATATGACTGTAAAAAGACTTTACTGTAGTTTTTTTTTTTTAAGATACATATCATAGGTCAAACTACAGGCATGTCGAATAGATCGCCAACCGACGATTTCAACAGTCCCAAGTGTCCGATCTCACTCGTCGACAGAAGTTAGCTGGGCATTATCTCATGCAATTGGCTTGTGATTCTGATTCCTCGGCTAGTTTTTGTTAAACTTTTCTATTAAGAAATTTTAACATATTTAAAAAATAACACAAAACTTAGTTAAAAATTACCCATTGTGATGTTTTTGTATTTATACTATTTTTTTTCCCTAAAATTAAATAAAACAAATCCCTCATAAATTATTTATAAAGTTTCAATAAGTAATTATGGAATAAGCTACAAAATTCCCAAACTAAATCTAATAATACTTATCTCAAATTTCATATCGTCACCATATGGTTTTTTGGAATAGTAATATTATTNTGATTCCTCGGCTAGTTTTTGTTAAACTTTTCTATTTAAGAAATTTTAACATATTTTAAAAATAACACAAAACTTAGTTAAAAATTACCCATTGTGATGTTTTTGTATTTATACTATTTTTTTTCCTAAAATTAAAAGTAATTTTAAAATTAAATAAAACAAATCCCTTATAAATTATTTATAAAGTTTCAATAAGTAATTATGGAATAAGCTACAAAATTCCCAAACTAAATCTAATAATACTTATCTCAAATTTCATATCGTCACCATATGGTTTTTTGGAATAGTAATATTATTGAATTGCAATTATTAGATCTAATCTAATTAAATTGGGTGTATTGTTGGACTTAAAAAAGAAATTTATGGTTAGTATTAAGTACTAAGTAGATCAATCAACTGGATTTTTTAAGGATTGTATACGAGGTTTTAAAATTTAATTCCGTCCACAATTAAGGTGAAGAGGTAATTTTTTTTAAGAAAAAAATTAAAGGCAACTATTAATAATAAAATAAAGAAGACAATTAATTTAAATAATTTATATAAAAAAATTTGAGTTAAAATAGTAAAATACTAACCCAAAATGAAAGATAAGATGGGCATAACCACGACGGAAGAGGGCAAGCGATGATTATTTTCCAAAAGAGGGACTCAAATGTTACAAAAAAATTATTTTCTGATTTGTTAAAAGATAGAAGGATCATATTGTAAATATAAGGAATTTGGGTGCATCACATAAAACAGAAAAGTACGAGGGCCTAGTGTAGTGAAGAGCTTGAAAGGTACATAAACGGAAGGTGTTAACAGTTAACACACTTAACGGAAGTCGTTAATTCATTTTGATTACTATGTTTACGGTAATCTGTAGATCGTCAAATCTGACAATCATTCATCAGCCATCTCTGTAAGTACTAAAAAAGAAACATTGTAGTGGTAGTGGCCAAAGCTATACTGTTAGAATTTTTTTTTTTTTTTTTTTTTAATAATTCGAATTAATTTAGGTGCATCTTAATTAATTTATCGGATCCATTGAAGTTTTAACACTTTAAAAGGATAAAGAATAATGTAAGCTATAATATTATCGTGGTAGGTGATCCTAAAGTTTGAATCAAAAAACTCAAAAAAAAGAACAAACTCTCTTAACCGTCAAGTCAATCCCTTGAGATTTATTGTTAAACTATGGTTGATGAGATGGATGAAACCCAAGTCTACCGATCAAATCTTTGCTACAATCCTCCCAAATTCCGCATTCGTTCATATGTTTGTTCAACCTGAAATATATATATATTCACTTTTAATGGCTAAAAAAGTTGAATTATAATAGTATAATTAATTAATGGTAATACGCTACTCACCTCCTTATTCCAGTTGGTTTTGTAAATGATGTACACCAGGATTATTGTCTGCAGAAAAGTCCCACAAATCATGCCAACCCAAATTCCCTGTTACAACAACACCGATCCACACATGTAATTCATGCAAATAATTGTACATGAAATTCATAAAAGCTTCATCTTAACTAATTGTTACCTGCACTCCATATTCCATCTTGTAACCGAGAAGAAACCCAAGAGGGAGCCCAACAACGTAATAGCAAAACAAGTTTATATAAGCCACCAAAGCTTGCCACCCTCCACCCACAGCAACTCCTGCCAACATTATTTCTGTAATAATATGTTGATATATAACGTTTGGGATCTGTTAATTGTATTATATACATATATATCTCACCAGATATAACAGGCTGGACACTGTTTAGCACCATGGTTATACCAAGTAGGTAAGCTAAGTTAGACACAGCTTTTTGCATCTGTTGGCTGTCTGTGAAGATAATGGAAAACTGGTGTCTTGTTGCCATGATAATAGTTGCAGCAATAATCCCAACAAGAAGAGATTGCAAGACTGTGACAACCACAGAGTATTTTGCAGCTCTGGGATGTCCTGATCCAAGCTCATTAGACACCCGTACGCTGGAAGCAAAGACACGATTAAAACTAGCACCAACATAACATTACCAGAAAAAAATATCAAACATCCACATTTGTTACCTTATAGCTGCGTTGACTCCAATAAAAAACACGCCTTCCCACCCATTGATGTTCATACTGAAACAAACAATTGCAACTAAAACTAAGCATGACCACATACAACTCAGAAATAGTTTGTCAAATTAAGAAGTAAATTGGATTCTCACCATATAGAAAGAGAACCAACGGCGATAACTGGATCATCAAGATGACCAGTGAGAACAATTATGGTCATAAAATACCAAAACTCAAGGCAAAGCATAACAGCTGAAGCTATAGACAGTCTTACAAATCCCCACATATCTTTAAAGGCCAACCAAGACAATCCTTTCCACCCATCTTTACACCAACCAACCACATAAATAATCTGACCAATCGATATCCCCCAAGCTGATATGTCATAAGCAGCAGCAGCTCCAGCAGTTCCCCAATCAAACACATGTATAAACAGAAACAATAAACCAATGTGCCCAATCAAAGCTACAAAACCAATCCATGCTAGAACACCAACTTTGCTTTGTGCCTGCAAGAATTTTTGGGTTGGGAAATTGAAGGCTAATGAAAACATTTGAGGCATTACTTGAATAGTATATGTCCCAGCAAGTTCTGCAATGTCATCTCGTTGCCCAAGAAGCTTTAAGATTGGTGTTGCCAATATGAAAAGTGGCATTAGGAGGAAGCAGGCAACAAAAAGGATTATCCATGAACGTTGCATGTATACACCTAGTAATTGTACTTGCCCCGCGCCAAATGCTTGTCCACATAGCGTCTCAAGTGCGCTTCCCATGCCAAGCTGCATGCAAATGTATTATGGCTCTTAATACATTACCTTAGATTCCATAAATAAGAAAATTAAAGGGAAGAAATTAATGAATAGAAAAACGTTATGTTGAGTTGAATTGAAGGGTGCTAACCAAGAATCCAAAGGAGAAATTTGAAACGACAGATAAAGCAATTGAAACTGCAGATAACTCAATATCTCCAATATGGCCAACAAAGATATTGGTAAATGAGTTAATCCCATAATTGCACAAAATGTTGAAAGCAATAGGAGCAGCAATGGCCCATAGCTTGTTGGACTCAACAAAACATATATATTTTGCGTCTTGAAAGTTATGAACAGGAGGGTAATCAGCCTCATGGGAAGCAAGCAACGAGGTAGGAGCATGATGGAGATCAGCTGTGTCCCAGATATCGATGCCATCAATGGTGGATACTTTTGATCCCTTTAAATGCCTCATTATAGGTGATGAATCATCAGTGGAGGATGAACAACTTGTGTTCCCCTCTGCCGTAAGTTCTTCATTTTCCTTATGGTTCCCAATTTTTGCTGCTTTAATGAAGTCCTAATTCAATAAATTTTGGATTGAATGAGCTTAGAGTTATTTTCTTTTCATTTATTTCTTCCTGTAACTTAAGTTTGTCTTTGAGCTATTACTGGTGTTTAATGGTAGCTATGAATAACAGAATAAGGTTGTCCGTTGAAAGATAAAAGAGTTTTTACTAAAAAAAAAAAAAAAAAACAGAAAAACTTGTTGAGATGTGCATGCCATGTGACATTCTCTCTTTAGTCTTTAATGTGAAGCTTTACGATAGATAATGACCAGTGGTATCAAGGAAGGTTTGTACTTTGTATTTGAATGGTGCATATGGAATGGATGGTAAGCACTATTAACTATTTTCAAATACTGGGTTTCACATGCTTCTGATCTGAGCCAATAAAAATGTTTACCATTAATTTTATTATAGGAATTTGGTCTCTCTATATGGGTCTTGGTCTCCTGGGCTAAAGATGGCAACTAGATAGTTGGGTTCAACTAAATGGACCATCATACATAACGAAGCCAGATGGGCTTACAAGCAAGCTGCTGAGGCCATTACAACGCAAAGAAGAAGATCATCTAATAATAATAAGATTTCTTAATGAACCAAACATTAGCACGAAGTTACGTTTCTAACAAGAAGAACAAATTGAACAACTTTCCTTCTGGGAAAGAGACAAAACGGATCCAAGAACTTTCAATTCCCAGCAGGCGCCTATAATGCACGCACTGGGTTAGAAGGTGAGAATCATGGAGCGTGCAAATGGTTCTTGCTTGGTGAAGTGATGAGGCTGCATTCTATGTATCCAACCAATACATGAATTCAAAACTCAAAAGGAAGAGATAAAACAATGGACAAATTGAATCATTCGACTACTTAACAAAATGTTGATGTGATTGTGGGGCAATTATTGGTTGAGCTTCCAAGTTTGACTCATTAATTTTGAGCTATTAACTGTAAGTGCATCGATATTATGACGATCAGTTGGCCTTGGGGCTATTTGGGCTCAGCGTCATCATGCTGTCACGTGATTACAGGATAATACTATACTAATAATCTTCTCTCATAAACTTTCTTTCATAACTTTGATGTGAAAACTCGCAGTTAATCAGCTTACAATTAATTAATAGGACCTATGTAAAACCTATCATAAACTAACTAATTATGAGTTATCACATCATAATTGTGTGAGAGAGGATTGTTGGTGTAGTATTATTCGGATTTTGAACCCAATTTAGACTGTGCACATTCAAACAAATACCGTAACAACATCATCACCTAACTGCCCTTTGATGAAAAAAGGGAAACGTATACATGCACTTAAATACAATCACAGATATGTACAGCTGAAAAGGACATTAGGCATTTGAATCTATTTGGAATCATTTGAGAAGTGGCAAAACTTCTAAAGCAACATTAACTCTTTTTATACTTGCTTGGTAATCTACATTACATTTCTTTCTATTGCATTTTTAAATTGACAAAAAAAAAAGAGCTTCTAAACTTAAGGAGAAGACTGGAGTAACAAAAACTATAGACTTGTTACTGAACTTGGCTTTTCTCATCAGTTTTCCCGACAAATTTGTCAGTTAAAACATTCATTGGGGAAGAGACATTTCCAGAAGATGAATGTGAACCTCCAGTTGATACTCTTATATTGCCAGAACAGTCACCAGCAATGGATGCCCCATTGTTGGAATCCATCCTGATTCCGTGATATGACTCCCCGGAAACAAGTGCTTGTATTAGTCTTGGTGGTGGAGGAGTGGTCACCTCCACTACTCCCTCCAACATCTTAACCACCATCCCCATTGTAGGCCTCATTTCCTCGTTATCTTGTATGCACCAAATTGCCACCAAAGCAACACGCTCTGCCTCCTCAACATTATAAACTCCACCTAGTCTATCATCCACGATTGCTGCCACATTGCCCTCGATTATTTGTCGTGCTGCCCATGGAGGGAAAAACCATTTTTCCCCATATTCAGCTCCACCACCACCATCAACATTACCATTGCCTCCAGAAGCTGGTGCCTCAACGTTTCTGCGACCTCCTATTAACTCTAACAATGTCATTCCATAGCTATAAACATCAGCTTTTGCTGTAATTGCCAATCCAGATATCCATTCCGGTGCTACATAGCCCCAAGTGCCCCTCATTGTGGCCAATACTCGGCTAAAGTCCCGACCAATTAACTTTGCTAGTCCAAAATCTGATACCTTGGCTGTATAATCACTATCCAAAAGAATGTTTTCCGGTTTGATATCACAATGGATGATGCAGTCTCTGCATTCCTCATGTAAGTATGCAATACCTCTAGCCGTACCAATGGCTATCCGAAATCTAATATCCCAGCTTATATTAGGACTACCTTGGCGTAAATAAGAACTCAAAGGACCATTTGGCATGTAATCATAAACCAATAGTCTGTGAGAATTCTCTGAGCAAAAACCTCTAAGTCTCACTAGATTAACATGTTGAATGTTGCCAATAGTGCAAACCTCTGCCCTGAACTCCTTCTCTCCACTTCCAGGCCTTTCAAGGCGTTTCACTGCAACAATAGTAGCATCTGATAACTCTCCTTGAAAAACTGTCCCGAATCCACCATGCCCAAGTTTGTCTGAGAAACCCCTTGTCACTGTGTGAAGTTCTTTGTAAGAAAAAACCTTCAAATTCAGCACTGAAAATACACCATCTTCATCCTTACCCTTCTTCTTCTCTCTTCTCTTCCGTAAAATCAGCAACACCACCGCTGTTAATGCAAAAATAGCAAATGATCCAACAATGCCAACAACTAAAATCACTGTTGTTGATATATTTTTCTTTGCAGTACCTCCCCTTTGCACTCTAACATACAACACATCCTCGGTTGTGCTATCAGTCGTCAAATTCCTCAGATTCAAGAGTTTCCCAAACACATTCTTGCACAAATTAGTTCCGGCATTATGATACAACCCGATACAAGAGCAATTACTTAAACAAGAACTCTCACAGACCTTCCTACTAGCCGAAAATGATTCAGTAACAGCACCCACAAACCCCACAACACCAACCTCCTCAAACATATCACTCTGATGACACAAATCATTACTCGTGCGGATACAACCACTGGAGTAATCGCCAGAATCCCAGCCATTACCATCAGATGGCCTAAACCCACTAAAACATGTACAAGGCCTTAACATTGTGCCCTGACAAAACCCAAAATTACCACATAAACCATAAACTCTGCACTTATCTTCCGGCCGTGACCAGAACATGTTCCAATTTTCATTCTGCTGTGACCAAGTATACTGCTTAAGCTGTCCACTTGGATCCAAATGAAACTTTGTCAATGGCGGCTTTAATCCGCTGTCGATTGACTTTTCTGTGTAACCAAACGTCGCCGTGGGCTTGCGCGGGTTCACGAAATAGAACTTGTATATATAAGGGATGGTCATTTCTGGTACATTAACAAATGAATTACCAGTCCAGTTCCCAGTAGACCAGTAAACAATAGTACCATTGTACACAAGTTCAATTTCATTGTAGCCTCTTGGTTTTAGCCTCAGTGAGTAAAAACCAGGTGATGGATCGGACAAACTCTTCCAAGAAGTTAAAGATCTATCACTACTGAGGTTCATGCCAGGAAGCCACGTGTCAGTTGGGTGTTCAAAACTTTGCCACACTAGTAAACCCTCAGGTGATAATAGAACAAAATTCCCAGAGTCTAAGAAAGAAAAATGAGTTGCCTTTTCAGTGTTTGTGGTTTGCCAAATGATAGAGTTTTGCGAATCTTTAATTGCTAATTTACCAGTTTCAGTGATTTGAAGTGTAGATAGTGTTAAACTCATAATGGGTTTTTCACGATTTGCAACCCAAACATATGTTGGTGTAGGAATTGAATTTGAAGCGTACCAAATTCCCAAATACCAGCCAGCTTCCTCATTTGTTGAGAAGAACCCAAGCTCGAACGTCTGGTTTTCGCTTAAAATTGTAGAGTTGCCAGCGACGATAACACCTGTCTCATTCTTTGTAAGAGAAACACCCAAACTTGTAACCCCTCCGAGTTGCAGGGAATGAACAGCAATTGAGGTCCGTAATACAAGGAATGTTTGAAGAAGAAGAAGAATGAAAAAAGACATGAAAGAAGAAGTGAGGTTGGGTAGTGACATTTCCAGTCAGTTCCTCGAAAAGTTGTTTGGTTCGCCAGAAAGTGTTATTTTCTTGCAAAGTGACATGGAATGGAATCTATGTGAGTTTTCGAAGAAACACTTCACTGACTCTGTAGTCTGTAGTCTGTAGTCTGTAGTGACGACTGAAGAGAGTGAGAGCCAGACTCTGGATTCTTTCTTTCTAGATATCTTACAAAAGCTGCTATTCACGGACACATCACAATGTCCAAAATGTTTCCTGTATTATTAGTCATTTACAAAACTACCCTCAACATCTAACCAAATAAATCATCATTGAGAACAAAATATGTCCAAAGATTTTGTCTGAAATTAACAGGATTTTGTGGTACCCGTAATTGATTACAGATTTACAGTTAACAAGAAAATCATGTTGGATAATATTATTACAATGAAGAGAAATTAAATGGATGAGTACTGAGTAGAGGATATTTTGGTAAAAGAAAGGGCGGTTTTTAGAAATAGAAAAAGGTTTGGTGGCAGACAAATGTAGTGAAGTCCACTCACGAGGTCATTACTTTTCAACAAAAGGATTATAGAAAGACATAAAAATATAATAATTTAAAAATTGTTTTACCATTATTCTATACCACGCGCGCAGTCCACTTCTTGGATGAAGTGAGATTACATTATAAAGCCTCAACAACCTCAATCGTGGCAACATCATATTGGTTCATCAATTCCGCAAGTCAATCTACTCTACCTGTCCTTTGACCTTCTCACTTCCGTGAAACCAAATTTTCAAATAAAATTTTTATAAGTTGATAATTATTTTGAAGACAAACGTTAAGCACATTTAATTTGGTCCACATGTTATTACAATGTTAAATGTTTAATGTAATCAATTTATTTTGTAAATGTTGACAAGAAGAGAAGAGGAAATTGATTTGATGACTTGCTGAAATATTAAACGTGGGTAAGAAGAGGTAATATTTTCTAGAAACAACGTGATCAAGTAGTTGAACTTCCTTTTTTTTTCTTATTTGAGTTTTGGTTAATTTATATACACTTTAATTAATCTATACAGTCTATTGAATATCCTAAACGTCCAATAAGTCAGACAAATCACAAATGTGGTAAGTAATCATTTCGTGAAACTCAAACACAAAACTTTTTCGCAACCACTCAGACTTGTCATCTCATCACAAGACTATTAGTTCAAGTGGTTGAACTTGCTTCAACCAAAGTGCCGCGTGTTTTACTTAACAGCGAAATAAAACCGATCGTTGAACTTATTCAAAAGAATAATGCTACACTTACAAAAAAAATATTAAAGAGATTCTCGTACAAAGTGATTGTGACAAAAAAAGAATAGAAAAATAATTATAATAAGTTTGACTTTTTCATTCATTTTTTATTACCTTACTTTGTATGAAAATCTTTGTAAGACTTTTTTGTAAATATAGTATTATTGTAGTAAAAAGGGTAAAAGATATAGGTAGCAACTACCTGGTTAGCTTTTCATACTAATAGTAATTGCGCATGCATTAGGCCACAGGTTTTGCAATACCAAAATTCTTACTGAAAATGCCATACGATAACTGCAGGAAACGGCTTTCACTCGTTTATGACAATTCTGAGAGGATTTTCATCACTTACCCCCTTAAGATTTTAATACAAAGCAAACTTCATCTAGCTTCTTGATGTAGCACCAACAACCTTGCTTTTCATTGACCTCTTGCAAAGTCTATGAAGATATCAAGTCATAGGCTTACACACTAAGAAGAAAAAAAAGAATATTTGGAGCTTTTTAAATGACAGATACCAAAATGACTGCCGGGGAGGAAAAAAATCTGCAGTGGAAAATGGTAAACATTCACATGAAAGGTATAAGCTTAGATCATACATGCTAATGAGAAACCAATGAAAGTTTCTTCTTTAAGGGAACTAAATTAATTTGGCATTTCCATAAGGCGGAATTTAAGTGCAGTGTCATGGCTAAACAATACAAAAACATTTAATATATCATATGATTTAACATGGATAGAAAACCTTGTGTCAAACCCATCAAAAAATTAAACAAATATGATTTACAAAAACAGCACAAATGAGCAAATATATGGAGAATAATACAACATGCAAAGAATTCCCAAAAAAAAAATTTAAAAAAAAAAAAAATAATAATAATAGAAAGAAAACACTTTACAAGAGAACTTTTATCAACACTGACAACACAACATGGAAGGGAACACTGACCATTTTTGTATTTTGCAAATGGAGTATATCTGATTTACCCCCAACAACATTGCAGCTCACATCATTCTTCTACCTCAACTCAACCAGTGAAACGGGGAATAAAGAAGGAGAAACCTGCCACCACGCTGGGTCAAAACTTTGTTTCTTTACTTTGGACTAACCCACCAAAATAATGACATCTTTAAACAGTTCAACCTTCAAAATAATTACAACCTAAGAGAAAATGGATCCGTCAGCACTATTCGCCGACCAGCCATTAAACAAAATGCAACTGCAGCTATCATTTCAAACAGCAAAGAAACTTCTATATCCAAAGAGACTTGGAGCTACTAATCAAAGGTGTGGTTGAATATCATTTCCTGTGACAATAAGAACACGTCACTCTTTCATTAGTTTAAAGGCATAAGTGGTGCACATGTAAATAGAAATCCAGTGATACATTTGATTCCTCTGAAAAATAGTTGCACTGATTCAAGCAGTCATCAACTGACAACACCATAAATCTAGCCAGCTTACCTGTACATTCAATAGAAAGTACAGGTATCATGGTAATACAATTCTAATGTTGTCTACTTCTAAGGTAAAAGACTCCTCATGCAGTGTGCATGAATTTTACTGGAGTAGAAAAGGCATCATTTCAGAAGAACCAGACATCACATTATAAGATAATTTACAAAGAAATGAAACATTCAATCTAATTATTGCACATTCAATTAATTTCACAAGGCAAACCTGATCACATATGGGGCAGGAGTCACTTCTTTCATTCCACTCCAAAATGCATGAGAGGTGAAAATGATGTTCACATTTTGTGATAAGTTTTGGATTCTCTGTATCATATTCTGCAAGAGGAAGTACCGAGAAAATGAAACATCAGTTATGAAATGCTAAAATATTAAAGCAATGCAGTACCAGAATTATTTTACTGCCCATTAACCAGCAAAAAAAATAGTAATACAGAGGATAACAGAATTAATGCCTCAAAAACTGATAATACTACACCTTCAAGACAAATGGGGCAGGTGTCCTCCTCTTCTGCCACTATGGATTCATTTAATTTCGCAACTTCTGATTTCCTTGGTGAGACAAGCAAAGAACTAACTTGAGTTTTGCAGTCTAATTCTTCAAGATCTTCACATGTGGGTAATGTTTCAAAACTACCACCACTAATAGTTTCTCTAACAGACTCTGAATCTGTTGATGGCGGACATCCGAAAACAACATCATACGGCAAAGGTGCAGGAGGGGGCCGGAAAGTGTCAGGTGTTGATGCTTCCAGATGAAAATCAACCAGGAGTCCTCCTGTAAAGGCAGAGGCTCCGCCACTGTGAGATGTTAAGGACTCCTGCTCTTCCAAAGCTGGTGGACACTGCATTAATCAGTTCTATAAGTTCAAGAGGGATGGACTAGAAAATTACTAATGAGCAAGTTGTTGACAATAGTAAGTCAGTAGAGATTTCCACCTAAAAGCAACATTCTTGATAGAAACACCTAAACATAACATTACTCGCCATCAACTATGGCATGCCTTGTACGGCAGCAGAGGGGGGAATTTTTTTTTTATAGCATGTGCCTTCTTCTGTCAGCGGCTTCCCCAAATGGCACATCCTAAATCCCTTCCCAGAAAAACATTTGAGATTAACACAACTGCCCCCAATATTTTCAACTCAACTCCTCATAAAATCTGTTAACTTCACATGTTACCATTCCACTAGCTCAGACTTCAAATACTCCAATCAAAACAAAATCCTAATAATAATTGTAACACTAAATCTGTAAAATAAACACATTCATATATAATTAAAAGGAAAAGGTCCACAGACCAGAACAGCTATCTTGTTGGAGATGTAAATTTACATTTCTCCAATATCCATTCCAAATGCAAACTGAACAGCAGAAGATGACTACTCAATATAGATATCAGCTATTAAAAGTGCCAGCAACAAAGACCAAAGAAAATGAGTGTTTGAAAATCCAAAGACACGTAATTTGAGAGAAACCATTACTAACATAGTAGTATACAGGTGTTCCATGTAGATGAGGTTTCCTGGAAGAACAACAACAGCCTCCCATCCCTGCAATTATTTCTGTTATCCACCCAATACAAGCAGTGGTTGGTGCATTATTTCCTGTCATTCAGCATCGGGAAGAGTCAAATATTACACAGCTTACAAATGAAAAGAAGTTAGCAATATAATAATAAAACTAGCTCAATTTATACAAATTGACTACGAAAAATATATCTGGGAAGAGAAAATAGAATGGCACGATGAGGAACAAGTGAACAAGTAAACCAAGAATTTCCAGACAACTCAAACAGCCCTTTTTTGTATATGATTCTAACACTTTGAATTAATATAATTTAGCTTAGAATACTAAAAAAAAAAAAAAAAAGAAGCAGTAAATACTCAAGTATACAAATACAATAATTACTATAATCAAAACAACCAAAAAGGAAAAAAATTTAAGTCACATAACAATCCAAAGAAAAAAAAATCAGAAGATGGTTAAACCATTATTAAGAAACCAGATTCAACAACAAAAAAATAATAAAAGTAAAAGAAGAACGAAAACCCTAATCAGGAAGGTCGATAAGATGCAAAAGATAACCAATTCAAGCAATCATTATCTTGAAAGTTTACATAGAAACTATGGAAGCTTACCTCCTAGCACACGAAAGTAAAGAGGAAGAGCGAGAGAAAGAGACAGACACAGAGTGAGGGTCGGTGAAAAGAAGGTAAAGAGTGAGGTTTTCAGTATCCTTTTTTTATTTGCGGTTTTATTATTATTCTTCTTTTGTGCTGTTGGTTGTTTTATACTTTCTTCCACATTATGCGCTCCACAGTCCACACCACTCATACCTCTCTCTTGCCTTCATTTCATGTCTCTAAAAAAATGACTCCTCTACAAATAATATCAGGTATTGAGTCACTCATGAAACGGAAAATAAAAACTCAATCAAATAAGCTACGCAGGTATTTTTTATTATGAAATTTGTATATTTGACTGAGACTCTTGAGTCTTTAGTGTGAGTCATATTTTACTACTAATAAAAATAGCTGGTAATTTTAAAATCCCAATTTGAATATGCAAAAACGGATTTGGATATCCAATTATATATATATATATATATAGGATCATAATACATATAAACTCTATATTAGAGGCGGCTCCATTTGCATCATCCTTAATACTGATCTTATTAATTATTTAATTGAATTGTCGGTACAAATATCTATATCCATTCCACTATAATGTTTCACTTGATATTTTAATAGAATGAGACAAAAACCCATTTGTTACATATTGTGTAAATACTATATAGTCATTAATAATCAACATATTTACTTTCTTTTATGTGAAGAATTTTTTTTAAAGTAAAAATAATACGTTGAGGGTATTAATAAGTAAACCATAGGGTAATTCACATGACTATTGAATGCGTTCAAGCGTTCTAACTGTCCTCCCTGTTTTCTCATCTTATGCTCTCCAAATCCCGCGCTTCTTCAATCTCCAAGTGTTATCATGCTCACCAAACCTCTCTTCAACTTCCACAAAACACGACCCATCTCTCCTCGCGGGTCTACCCACAACCTCAGTGCCGATTCCTGAGTCAAATCACTTAAACGACTTCCACTCAGACCATTCTTTCTGCTCTTACGCCCTCAAAGTCTTAGCCAAATGGCCCAAATTTGGTTTTCTTCAGAAAGGAAAACAAATACATGCACACATAATAAAGTTAGGACTACACAACAAATTATCCTTGCAAAATCAAATATTACATCTTTATGTTAAATGCAAGGAGTTTGATGATACAGGGAAATTGTTTGATGAAATACATGTGAGGAATGTTGTGACGTGGAATACAGTAATTTGTGGGGTTCTTGGTTGTGGTTTTAACTTCAAGTCAAGTCCGTATCTGGGTTTTCTTTACTTAAAGAGAATGCTGTTAGACAATGTGGGTTTAGATCAGATAACGTTTAATGGTTTGCTTCGTGCGTGTGTTGAAATAAATGATATTGAGATGGGTTGGCAACTGCATTGCTTTATAGTGAAATTGGGTTTTGATCTGAATTGTTTTGTTAGCAGTGCTCTTGTTGATTTGTATGGGAAATGTGGTTCAGTTGAAGATGCGAGGCGGCTTTTTAATAAAGTTGTGTGTAGAGACTTAGTCTTTTGGAATGTGATGGTGTCTTGCTATGCCTTGAATTGTTTGGCAGCTGAGGTTTTTCGGGTATATGACTTGATGCTGTTGGAAGGTCAGAAGGGGGATGAATTTACATTTTCTAGTTTGCTCAATGCATGTGGGACATTGAGATCTTCTGAATTGGGGAGGCAGATTCATGGCCTAATAATTAAACAGTTTTTTGATTTAGATGTTTCAGTGGCTAGTGCACTCGTTCATATGTATGGCAAGTGTGGAAATATAGATGATGCTCGCAGAGTTTTTGATGCTATGGCTTCTAAAAATCTTGTTTCATGGAATACCATGATTGTAGGTTATGGTCAATATGGAGATGGAAAGGAGGCTATGAGACTTCTCAGAGATATGTTTCAAAGAAATTTTCACCCAGATGAACTTACCCTGGCTAGCATTCTTAGCTCATGTGGCAATTTATCCATCATTTGTGAAACCATGCAAGTTCACGCTTATGTGGTTAAATATGGATTTCAAGCTTTCCTATCCGTTGGAAATGCTTTGATAAATGCATACTCCAAATGTGGTAGCATTGCTAGTGCATTTAAATGTTTTAGTTCAGTCACAAACCCCGATCTTGTTACGTGGACTTCAATTATTGGTGCACATGCATTCCATGGCCTTTCTAGAGAAAGTATTGAGATTTTTGACAGGATGTTATCTGGAGGTATAAGGCCAGATCAAATTGCATTTTTAGGAGTTCTTTCAGCCTGTAGCCATGGTGGGCTAGTTGACGAGGGGCTGCATTACTTTAATTTGATGATCAATGACTATCAAATTATGCCAGATTCAGAGCATTATACTTGTCTCATTGACCTTCTTGCTCGAGCTGGTCTGCTACATGAAGCTTATAATATATTGGCATCAATGCCTTTTGAACCTAGATCTGACACTTTTGGAGCATTCATCGGGGCATGTAAAGTTCATGGAGAAGTAGGATTAGCAAGATGGGCTGCAGAGAAGCTGTTTCAGTTGGAGCCTTACAAGCCAGTGAGTTACACTCTTGTATCTAACATGTATGCCTCTGAAGGGTATTGGTCTGATGTGGTGAGAATACGCAAAAAGATGAGGGACAATTGTAATTATAAAGTTCCAGGTTGTAGCTGGATGGAGATTGCTGGTGAAATTCACACCTTTGTATCAAGTGATAAATCCCATCCACAAGCTGTACACATTTATGCTATGTTGGGAACAATGTTCGGCCTTGAGGAGGATAAAATTGTTTCCAGTGCCTATGTATTTGACTGTGACCTGGATGAATGTGGGTTTAACATTCCCGGCTAACCTATTGCTTTTAATTTGAAGAATGAGAACTTCAAGCAGTTTTGTTTCTTTCATGACTTCCAGTTTGCTTCTCTTCTTGAGGTAAGGATATGCATATCTTCCACGTCTTTCATAGAATCTGCTCATCCAACCAAAATGTAAATTGTTCTCTATGAATAGTAACAAGAATCCCAATTGATATTACCAATAAAAAAATGATATCCTTACAAAAGACTCATACAAAGAGGGTTACAAAGTGACATCATCTGAAAGAAAAAAACAAAAAAAACGGAAAAAGAGGAAAAGAGAAAGAGAAATCATAAAAATCAAGGATGAGGATTGTCTTTGTATGCTCCTTTTGTATGTGTCTTTGTAAAACTAGCCAATAATATCATGAACCCCTATTGCTAAAATCTTCCATAATAGTCTAGATTCGTGAAAGTCCCACAGTAGCTATCTAATTGGCGTGTAGCTCAGTGCATTTTGGGGTTGTTTGCGTCTGGTAATGTCAGTTCAGTATCTTGCTTACCATCTCACTGATCTTAATTTATGTCTGAGTATATCACGTGATACTCAAAGACCCCCGCATAAAATACGCCTTCCATTCAATTGGGCCTACCTGGGCTGGACCAAGCTGAACTGAGAGTTGATTCTGGTCAGTGTTAAAAAACTAAACAAGACAAACTTCTACATTGTTAAATTAAGGATTGAAGCATTATGCAGTCTTGGTGGAAGTCATTGAGGTCTGATGACATCTATGCTTGTATCAACTGCAATATACCAATGAGTAAAATCTTCTAACTCAATTTTGCCCACTCCACAAATATATTTCATATGTCTTTCTTTATTTTGTTGGTTCTCTGTCGTCACACTGAAAACTTTTAACAAACCTTTAATTATCATGAAACTTGATTGATGTCGGCATTATATTTGTATATAATCATTATCAGCTTAAATCAATCCTAATATTTATCCATCTGTCATCTCTAAACAGGTCTTTGATTGGTAGATTTCCCTTCAAATTCTGGCAATCTTCAACTAACTACAGAATATTGTCAATGTCCTCTCCAATTTGTGGTAATGTTGATTGATTTAAACTGTTGAAAATCTTTACTTTAACTACAGTCTACAGAACATAATGGATTAACTTCTAATCAAAGAGAGTTCCTTCCTCCTCCTCTAATCACAGGACATGAGATTTGTATAATTTCCTTTTAGAGTATATTGTATATGTACTTGGTATATGGAGAAAGTAAAACGTTGTATGATTCACACGAGATGAACTGATTAATTCATTGCTAGCCTAGAGAAGAAGTGGGACCTAATTGTTGATCAGATCAGAAGAGGTTTCACAGTGAGTTTTGGCAGGTGATATTGCTCCCCACCAAGGCACCAACTTCTGTTCTGAAGTTGCTGTTTTCAAGTAGTAGTTTGTAAGAATCCCTACCCGACCAACTATTGTTTTCATTTCATTTCATTTATCCACCTGATTCTGATATTGACAAAGTAAAGATTATCACAATACTATTACATGGCTGTGACATCGGACAACTGATACGTGTTAATAACGCTCAAGCCAATAGATATTTCCAAATTTTTGTCTTGTCTGGAGTATCCAAAGACAGCCAGCCACTCTTCATTTAGCCGGGAGGACCACGGTGCTAGCTAAGCTAAGAGGTAGTTCGCGACTTTTGACATTTGACTTTTGACGATATTAATCGGGCCCTGACCGGCTGACCCTGATCCTGATGGGCATATATATTTCCCTTTTTTTAGTAATGGTTTAATTACACTTTTTTACCATTTTTTTAAATACCATTTTACTATTTAAATTTATATTTTAGCAGTGAATAGAAAGCAAATTCATTCCAGACTATTAGGACTTTTCAAGAGAGAAGGTCAATGAGTCTTTTAGTAGTAGAAAATTGGATTTTAGTGATTATGATTGATCAAAATTTGACTTAAGGGAGACGACTACACAAACCCTAATCGTTGGACTGACGGCGATTGGCTAAGTCGATGAGAGTAGGGTTTAAAAGGTTTTGGTGAATAATGATCAGAAAAGAAAATGGTGTTGATGTAGGATCGCAACGATGTTAGAATCGGAAATGAAATATAAATTTAGATAGTAAAGTAGTATTTTAAAAGTCTGTGGATGAGAACGTATCATTAAACCATTATTTTGGTGAAAAAAGTCCTTTACTCTTTTTTAAGACAAGTTAATTAATATATTGTTGGTTAATCCTACGAAACCACTTGGTAGACAACAAGCAGCTAAGGGTCTGCTTGACAGTTTTTTTCCACACGGGTTCTGAAGGGTTTTTAATTAGACTGGTTTTAAGGTGTTCTAAGACCATTAATTGCTATATTTTTTATACACTGGTTTTGACTAGCTCAAAAACCCTCCAGAACCAATGTATTGTATTTTTTAAGGGTTTATAAAACCTCCCAAATCGGGGTGTTTTGGTTGGTTTTAAAATTTTATTCCACAAATACCATATCCATTACAAAACTATTATAACTACGTCAAAAAAAAAACTTTTTAACCAATTATGCGCATCTCCAACCATTAAATATAAAATAATTTAACAATCATAAAAAATTATATATATATATATAAATTATAAAATTTATTCTTGATGCTTTCTTGGAGAAGTGGAGCTAAATTTTTTCAATCATTCCAAATGCTACAAAATACAAAGATGATAAAGAGACTTAATCACATTTGAAGTTATAAAATACTAATAAGTAGAAAACAAATAAATAACTCTTACTTTTGTAATTAAAAAAACAAAACTCCAATACGGTTAAGTTGGGTATTTTTATGGGCATATATGTAAATTTATCATTTTAAAAAACAGTCAAAACCGCTGGAAAATAAACTTCCAAACACAAATTGAGTGTTTTAAAAACCGTTACTAAAAACTCTTAAAAACCGCTGCAGTAGTTTACTTTCAAAACTTTTACGGTGGTTTATCCTCGTAATCGCTATCATGAAACTCCCAATCATACCCTAAGGTTATAATTGCAGTATTGCACCATACTAATGGACCCACATTGGCCCAAATTAAGTAACGTATTTATTGGTTTAATTGAAGTTTCAATTGGCAAAAGACGCATGTTATTGTTATCCATTACCCATCACTTGAAAATTCAAAGTCTTCCATACGCATTTTAAGTTGCAACAAACACTCTCCCTACAACTACCCGCCACTTTACGTCACTTTTCCAATTGCAAACAAACAGCCTGTTAACTTCTCTTTGTTTGTCTCTCTCTCTCTTTCTCAGAGAAAAAGTCGTAATAGTAATGAAAAGTCCTCAACCACTTTATGGGCGACGGAACCCCAGCACGGGCATTGGGTCAACGCCGGACCGCTTCTCTTATTCGCCCAGTTCATCCTACTCTGAGGCATCAACCGTCCGCAAGACTGCCAAGAACACCGCGGCCGTTGTCGCCAGATCGGTGGCGGGAGTCTTTGTTGCTTGCTTCACTCCTCCTGAAACCACTAGCTCCAAGAGTTTTGTTGACTCTCGCGAATTTAAAACTACTACTACGGGTAATTCTTTTATTGCAAAAACTTTCAGACGTTTTAGCTTGATAGGTTCAAGATCCGGTTCTAGAAGATTGTTTTGTTTACTAAATTAAGCTTTGTTGATGTTGAGAAATTACGAATGATGTATCATGTTAAGATGGTTCAAATTTTCAGGATTATCGGATGCTTCAAGAACTAGTAGTACGGGGAGCCGAGGTTCAAGTCGTGGTGTTTATGCTAATTCATACAATTCAACTCATAGCAGAGAGCCTGGAAATGTACAGTTCACCATGGAGGAAATCTACAAGGCCACTAGGAACTTCTCCCCTTCGTTCAAGATTGGACAAGGTGGATTTGGAACTGTTTACAAGGGCAGATTGGATGATGGAAATGTTGTTGCAATTAAGCGAGCTAAGAAGGTTAAGATTAAATTTATCTTTGTTTCTTTAAGGGTTTGAGGGAAGAAACTGTAGAATGTATGATCTCGGGTGCATTGATTTCACTAAGTTTGTGGTTTATGTGTGTTTGCAGAGCCTATATGATAAGCATTTGGGTGTGGAATTTCAAAGTGAAATTCGAACACTAGCACAGGTGGAGCATTTGAATTTAGTCAAGTTTTATGGGTACTTAGAGTACCGAGATGAAAGAATTGTTATTGTGGAGTATGTTCCAAATGGAACTCTCAGGGAACACTTGGATTGTGAGTTCTTCCAATTTGGCTTTTTTCTTTCTGTGTATAACATGGATGCTTAATGGAAATTTGTTAACTGAAATTTGAGAAACATAAATGCAGGTGTGCATGGCAACATTCTTGACCTTGCTGCACGATTAGATATTGCAATTGATGTAGCACATGCTATTACCTATCTTCATATGTATACAGGTATATTTTAAGTTTATTTAATCGTATAAATTGAGAATGTGTAGAGAGATCTAACTAGGTGGTGCTTTGGCTTTTCATGTAGATCACCCAATCATTCATAGAGACATAAAGTCTTCCAACATTTTGCTAACTGAAAACTTTCGAGCCAAGGTAACAGACTTTGGTTTTGCAAGATTGGCAGCTGACACTGATTCAGGCGCAACCCATGTGTCAACCCAAGTTAAAGGAACTGCCGGTTACTTGGACCCAGAATACCTCAGAACCTATCAACTTACAGAGAAGAGTGACGTTTATTCATTTGGTGTGTTACTAGTTGAATTAGTCTCAGGCAGGCGCCCAATTGAACCTAGAAGGGAACTCAAGGAGAGGATAACTGCAAAATGGGTATGATTTTCCCTTCTTTTATTACTTGCTCTATGCAAATAATAATGCGCCAGGCACACGATTGGTCTAGTTGGATAGAAAAATTAAACGTTGAGACTTATTGCTTTGTAATTGCAGGCGATGAACAAGTTCACTGATGGAGATGCCATTTCAACATTGGACCCAAAGCTAGAACAAACTGATGCAAACAACTTGGCCCTTGAAAAAGTTCTTGAACTAGCATTGCAATGCCTGGCTCCACGCAGACAGAATCGGCCAAGCATGAGAAGATGTGCAGAGATCCTATGGAGCATTCGTAAGGATTACAGAGAGCTTTCAGCTTCAGACATCCGTTTACTACCCTCTTATTCCCAGAGGAGCGCTTCAATAAAAGAAAAATAAGTAGGAAATGACAGACCAAGAATGGATCCAAGGTTTAAATGGCCATTTTGGTGAAGTACATTCAGCTTGCATCAAGGCATGCAAATAGAAATACTTGAAGATCAAGAAATACGCGGACTTCAATCAAACCAACCAATTGAAAATCGTGAAAAAAAAGGTAGTGAAAGGAAGCCTATTACTTCCAGGAAACAGATGTGAAAATAGTGTTTTACTTGTTGCTGGCATATGTAGAGGATTATTTTTCTTGAGGTTTGGCTTGTGTATGGGAAACTCATTTAAACAATGGGAGTTTCTTTGCTTCTTACTAGTGTGTACTTTTCTTTTTTTTCTTGATTATTGATTTGCTCAGGAGAATTTGTAATAATTTTGAAGCCGATCTGTATTTTATCTAGTAGATATTCTTGTATGTATATGGAATTAGCAGAGGGAAAAATGTTTTGAGTCATCTTCTAACATCTATTACTAATTATTTCTGAAAAAACCAATAAAAAAAAAATAATATAAAGAAAATTTTTTTTTTTTTTTTTTAGTTCCAAAATTTGATAGTACGTAAATTTTTTTTTTTTTTTTTTGTTCCAAAATTTGATAGTACGTAAATTACACCAATTGCCAAAGCCTCAATGTTTGTCAGTCTTTTCGATCATGGAGGTCAACCTTATAGAGTATGAATTCTTAGGTTTTTATCTTTTTCTCAACTGGGTTTTTGAGACCAACTTTCAGTTGCGACATCTTTTTCATTTCTTGGGGATTACCTACACGTCTGTCCAAATGGCGAAGAAAAACTATTCAATCTTTCTCTTGAAGATTTAAAATTTAAATTACAACATACAACAATCTAGAGCGGTCTTCGAGTGTTTCCATTATGATGTATGAAATAAACTAATCATATGAAAGATGTTATAAATACAAAAAATACCCTTTAAAACATACAATTGAAAGACCACATCTTCGCCCTAATGTCCTGCTCTGCCCCTAAAACTTATGAACAAGTTTTCTGCCTCACTTCTATCTCCTACCTATTTGTGTATAAATATTTACTTAAATGACGACCACCCCCCTCACTTCTATCTCCTACCTTACATTATAAGGATCCCACAACGAACAGCTTCTGTCGAGGAGTTTAAAAATGTCTTATTTGTCTACAATTATCTTCTTCAGATCAAATGTTTGAAAGATTCAATTGGTCTAGGCAGCTAAATGATTTTTTTTCCCTGCATGCCTAAAGAAATCACTTTTTTCCTTGGTGCTAAATCTGCAAAACTTTCTGCCTCTTCATTCCCTCCTATCACCTCTTGGGGTTGAATCCTGCGTAGTTAACTCATAGCTTGCTTCTACTGGCCCTGGATTCTCACTATTTACGTTATCGACTTTTGAGCAAAGGAAGAAGAAGGAAGACGTGTATATGGTGACATGCCAAACACTACAAAACCATTTAATACAACGAATATGAGAGAAATAGAGAGACAGAAATGAGAGACTAATGAATTCATCATACCTGTGCCAAATCCAGTAACTTTCACTGCTTTCTAACTTCCAACTTATTGCTGCCATTGCTAGTGCTGTGAAACCTACTAGTACAAATGCCCATCGGAACCGTAGCAATAATGTCTTGATTAAATTACGAACCCTTTGTGTAACAGTTTGCTGACTACAGTTACAAAAGAAAAAGAAATCAATTCCATTTGGTCTACTGTCCTGTATATCATACTGGCATAATCTCATGTGTGAATTAATTAGCTGGAATCTGTCATAGTATCCAATCACAAAAATCAGCCATGCTGCATCAGGATGCAGCATGGCCAGGTCACCAAAAAGCAGCAATACAGTTTAGAACTTATATTTATATAAACTTCAATTTGATTGAAATACGCTTGAAAAATTAAAAAGAAGAATTAAAGTAATACTGATATGTTCTTTTATTTTAAATGCATGAGGAGCCAATAGAAAGTTACATGAATAAAAGTTCAGGATTGACATGAAAAGAATATAAGTTACCTGTCCAGCATGTTCCTACAAAATCCAATTGAAAAGGAAAACAACCTAAACTTAGTAGAGAGCTCCACCACCCATCCAATAAGAAGACCCAGTATCCCAATCGCTATGACAAGCATAATATTGGAAGACCTACAGAGTTTAGCATGGTTAAATGCCTACTGTAATTACTGAGAAACAAAGTCCTGCTTTGAACAAAATTGAACTATATCTACTGGTTCAAGATACCTCGTTGCCTTTGTTATAGCCATAAGGGCTGTAAGGATAGCTACTGCTGTGTGAATTGTCCTTTTCAAAGCTTCATCAACAGTAGTTAGATACACGAAAGTGCTCACTACAGCCATGAAAGAGAGCCAGAAGTCCATGAACTGAAAGAATTGCCAGTACGCCTTATCAATAACATCTCAAACAAATAACCTTATGAAGCATGTGTGTATCCATATGGAAGGGATCCTCATACCTGTAAGACATTATAGGATAATGCACACCAGGTGCCAACATCACATGCATGATATAATCCACTTGAAATACCACTAGATGTGAAGAGTACCCATTCTGCAAATGCCTGCACAGAGAATTAATTGTCCTTTAGGTAACAGGAAAATTATTCGATGGATCAGAAAGCTCAGGCTAAATTTAGCTGATATGTCTTGTCTTGTCTTGTCCAATAGATATACAAATATGTGTACCAGACATAGAGCTTTACCTTCTTTCGAAGAGCACGATAGGCGGGAAGTAGAGCTGCAGCATTTGATGCAATGAGAGCAATCGATTGCCATATGTGCCCTACATCAGTTTTCAGCTGGTGGATTAGGTAAAAAACATGCTATTAGCATAATGCTAAGTCTCTTAGATTCATCTCATATGCATATTGTCATGAAAAGCTAAATTTTTTATCTCATCAGTAGAAAGTGGAAAAAGAAAACATGGACTGTTGGAAGATAGAACAAAATTATTGGCCATGACTTCCAGGTTTTTACCATCTTCTCAACTAATTCAGAGATCTACAGCTCCTTAAGACAAACTTGAGTTTTCTAAATCATTGCTTTTCTATAAAGAGCAAGGGGCAGCTTATTATCAGATGGACAGTTTGGATATGATTGACAAAAGAAAAACACTTTGGTAGCAATCTTGACATCATCAGCATCAGTGTATATCAGAGACTAAATGAATTTTTTCTTTAACTTCAAAGTAACATTTACCTTGATGAGATACAATTTCAACACTGCAGTCAAAGCCTCCATGGTCGCGATCACAGGAGCAGTAGCTGTAAAAAAGAAAAAAGGACAATTAAAAAAGCCACAGAAAGCAAAAAAACAAATACAGTTATAAGCTCCTGTATGCACGTATCAATGTTCCAACTATAATACTTCTGGGTAAATTCATTAAAAAAAATAGAAGACCACATAAAAAAATTTTAAAAATTTATGAATACGGGGAGAACTGTATATAAAAACCTGTATGATGTCAATCCACTTGCATCAAAAGCATATCTACATTGCCCATGAGATGAGCATCTTCTTGGGCATCTTTCAAGGGAAACAGACATGGTAGTCTCACTACTAGAGGTATTGGCATGTCTTATTCCAAAACCCCAAGTTCCTTCTCTAGCATATAAGATATAAAAATCAACCTTTTCTTCACTTGAATTATACAACTTGAAGAAAATAGAGCCACTACTGCTATTTGTTCTGTTTGCATAGTAATAGTCCCAGCTCTGAAGGGATGGTAATCCTCGAAATTTAGCATATATTTCAAATTTCATCTTTGTATCTGATGTCAGTTGGATGTGGATATTTCCTCCAGCTGCACCAACAGGAACGTCCATGAGAAAATAAGTCCAAATATCATCTGATTCTCCACCATAAGACGAGTTGCTTAAAAGAGGTTCAAGAGGAAAATCAGCAGAATCTGTGGGGACTTTTCCACTGACTGGTATATAACTGAATTCAAACAGGTATGACTCTCTCCTGATTCCTGTCTGCAGACAACCATTTTCAACTAGTCAACAAAATTACTTTGGATATGTTTCTTCAAGCATTAACAGAATACACACACAACAAAAGATATTCTATACATAATGTTAATGTAAAATGTAGGATGATGTAGATGTTTAAAGGTAAAATCTACAAGGTAACATATTCTTATTATATACTAAAGCCTGTCCTTTAATCATTTATTTTTCACCTTACAAGCCAAGATATTATTTAAACTCAAGCCTCCGAAAGATCAATTTCCTATTCATCCAGCAAAGGGATCAAAATGGGATCATGGAGACACTTGTTTACATTCATATACACAATGATGCAATTTGGCATGCAAAACATGAAACTGCACTTCCATCCTAAGCTTAAAATCTAACAGTCACCATATCAAAATACCCGTATATATTTCTGTTCTTGATCATAAAACTCAACATAATATTAGAAAGGAGACCTTTAGAGGTGCAAGGAACACAATCTCACCTGAAGATTATATATTTCCCACATACAATTCAACCCTGCCTTTCCCATAGGACATTCAAGTACTTGCCATTCCAAAGAATAGCAAACTTGTGCATTAGTATCATGAATCTCTCCAAGTTCTTTTGAAAGATTAACAGGTATAACAGTAATATACCAGCGACCAACCTTAGGTGAGGGAATAGTCAGTGGCTCTTTATGTATATCAGCCGAAAAATCATACAAGGTTGCTGAAGGCAGTGCACCATGACGAGCAAAACACATTATGTTAGTTCCACTAACATTTACAGAGTTATTTGAAGGTGTCATATTGAAACTGACATTCATAGCCATAATGGTTAATTGTTCTGTGATTCCCACCACATCCAAGGAGTAGACATTAGTTTCACCAATTCCATGGCAAGGTGTGTTAAAAGAGTTTCTGCAAGAAACCACATTTATAGTTGTCCCGTTGTTCACCTTACTATCAGAAAAGTTTCCAGTAAAATTATAACTGTCAGATCGAGCACATGATAGAGGGTTGACTGTCTGGTTGCAGAACTGGCCCCATATTGTTGAGGTTGTACATCCTTCCACACTCATGTTGGCAATAAAAGAATATGATGAGCCTCGAACAATCTGCAGTACCAGAGAATTAGCTGCAACCTCATTTCTCAGAAATGTTTGCAAGATTCAGGAATTTGTGGAATCAAGATCCCTTTAACGAAGAGGACAAAGAAGTTAATCAAAAAGAGTAATAGGAAATAAAAACTAGTTATAATGATCATACCATCTTTGATTGCGTCCTTGTATCTCCAACGCCATTGAAAAGACCAAGATACCAAACTCCTGGAGATATCTGAGTAAAAGACACATAAGTTAAATGCTGTCAACTATTGTTAACAGACAACAAATTTTAGAAAGAGCAATCACAATAGTGTTTGTGAAGTAAACCATGCGCCACCTTACCATAAAAAGGATATGGAGACAGAAAGTAAAACTAATATAAACAAAGAAAAATTCAGGGACGAGTTCTATTCCCATATAAGAAGAAATCTATTTAGCAAAAGTAAAAAAAAGATAAACCTGCTCATTTGTCAACTTCACTGATATATTTTTCTGCATTGGAAAACACTGCTCCACATACTCAAGATCTTCTAACCCCTTGGAAGATCCATTTGAGAGAGAACCTAACACTGCAAAAGAAGATTTTTTTCCAAAGGTATTTGAAATTATTAATCTTGCATATTTGAAACAACAAAATTGCACACACAGGCCGGTTGGGTCTTCATGTACCAACCAACAGGAAATTAAGAAAAAGGGAAGATGGGGATTTCTGAGTTCAGTTTATACAGAGCATACCTAAACCATTTAGAGCTGTCTCTGAGACATCCGGCAGAGGGAGACTGCCATCCCTCAAGCAGATCAATGGCAGAGTGCTTATAGGAACCTTTGCTATTCTTTTGACATCCTGCAAAAAAAAATTGAACAATAAGCTAATAGGAAAGCAAATGAATCGTATGGAACAGAATGAAAAGGTGATCTCGTGCATTCCCTTCAAAATTCAAGCCAAAAAAAGTTTTTGAAGAAAAAGAAAACATCAAGACAAAAATAACTTCAAAAATGATCTTACAATCAATTAAAGCATCAAACATGCTTAAATACAGATATTAATTACATTTGTAGGGCATTCTTTTGCAAATCATGTCTACAAGGGCTTGTAAATTAAAGATAATATTAAATTCAAGTAACCGGAGTCCGAAAAGAAACTAAAAACTCAGTAATAAGGCCCAACAGCATCTGTTATGATAAAAAGACCTCACATTCTTTAAACAAAGATCTGCAACTTACAAGGTCTACGTCTGATTCCAACTGTATAGACAATGAAGAGAACCATGCTGGCAAATCAACTTGAACAAGACACAACACCAAACCAGTTAGATATTAGCATTGTTAATTGATACCAAAAATAAAAAATAAATTAAGAAAATAAGAAACGAAATAATGTTAGCATTTACAAGACAACAGAAAATTATAGGATAATGCACACCAGGTGCCAACATCACATGCATGATATAATCCACTTGAAATACCACTAGATGTGAAGAGTACCCATTCTGCAAATGCCTGCACAGAGAATTAATTGTCCTTTAGGTAACAGGAAAATTATTCGATGGATCAGAAAGCTCAGGCTAAATTTAGCTGATATGTCTTGTCTTGTCTTGTCCAATAGATATACAAATATGTGTACCAGACATAGAGCTTTACCTTCTTTCGAAGAGCACGATAGGCGGGAAGTAGAGCTGCAGCATTTGATGCAATGAGAGCAATCGATTGCCATATGTGCCCTACATCAGTTTTCAGCTGGTGGATTAGGTAAAAAACATGCTATTAGCATAATGCTAAGTCTCTTAGATTCATCTCATATGCATATTGTCATGAAAAGCTAAATTTTTTATCTCATCAGTAGAAAGTGGAAAAAGAAAACATGGACTGTTGGAAGATAGAACAAAATTATTGGCCATGACTTCCAGGTTTTTACCATCTTCTCAACTAATTCAGAGATCTACAGCTCCTTAAGACAAACTTGAGTTTTCTAAATCATTGCTTTTCTATAAAGAGCAAGGGGCAGCTTATTATCAGATGGACAGTTTGGATATGATTGACAAAAGAAAAACACTTTGGTAGCAATCTTGACATCATCAGCATCAGTGTATATCAGAGACTAAATGAATTTTTTCTTTAACTTCAAAGTAACATTTACCTTGATGAGATACAATTTCAACACTGCAGTCAAAGCCTCCATGGTCGCGATCACAGGAGCAGTAGCTGTAAAAAAGAAAAAAGGACAATTAAAAAAGCCACAGAAAGCAAAAAAACAAATACATTTATAAGCTCCTGTATGCACGTATCAATGTTCCAACTATAATACTTTTGGGTAAATTCATTAAAAAAAATAGAAGACCACATAAAAAAATTTTAAAAATTTATGAATACGGGGAGAACTGTATATAAAAACCTGTATGATGTCAATCCACTTGCATCAAAAGCATATCTACATTGCCCATGAGATGAGCATCTTCTTGGGCATCTTTCAAGGGAAACAGACATGGTAGTCTCACTACTAGAGGTATTGGCATGTCTTATTCCAAAACCCCAAGTTCCTTCTCTAGCATATAAGATATAAAAATCAACCTTTTCTTCACTTGAATTATACAACCTGAAGAAAATAGAGCCACTACTGCTATTTGTTCTGTTTGCATAGTAATAGTCCCAGCTCTGAAGGGATGGTAATCCTCGAAATTTAGCATATATTTCAAATTTCATCTTTGTATCTGATGTCAGTTGGATGTGGATATTTCCTCCAGCTGCACCAACAGGAACGTCCATGAGAAAATAAGTCCAAATATCATCTGATTCTCCACCATAAGACGAGTTGCTTAAAAGAGGTTCAAGAGGAAAATCAGCAGAATCTGTGGAGAATTTTCCACTGACTGGTATATAACTGGATTCAAACAGGTATGACTCTCTCCTGATTCCTGTCTGCAGACAACCATTTTCAACTAGTCAACAAAATTACTTTGGATATGTTTCTTCAAGCATTAACAGAATACACACACAACAAAAGATATTCTATACATAATGTTAATGCAAAATGTGGGATGATGTAGATGTTTAAAGGTAAAATCTACAAGGTAACATATTCTTATTATATACTAAAGCCTGTCCTTTAATAATTTATTTTTCACCTTACAAGCCAAGATATTATTTAAACTCAAGCCTCCGAAAGATCAATTTCCTATTCATCCAGCAAAGGGATCAAAATGGGATCATGGAGACACTTGTTTACATTCATATACACAATGATGCAATTTGGCATGCAAAACATGAAACTGCACTTCCATCCTAAGCTTAAAATCTAACAGTCACCATATCAAAATACCCGTATATATTTCTGTTCTTGATCATAAAACTCAACATAATATTAGAAAGGAGACCTTTAGAGGTGCAAGGAACACAATCTCACCTGAAGATTATATATTTCCCACGTACAATTCAACCCTGCCTTTCCCATAGGACATTCAAGTACTTGCCATTCCAAAGAATAGCAAACTTGTGCATTAGTATCATGAATCTCTCCAAGTTCTTTTGAAAGATTAACAGGTATAACAGTAATATACCAGCGACCAACCTTAGGTGAGGGAATAGTCAGTGGCTCTTTATGTATATCAGCCGAAAAATCATACAAGGTTGCTGAAGGCAGTGCACCATGACGAGCAAAACACATTATGTTAGTTCCACTAACATTTACAGAGTTATTTGAAGGTGTCATATTGAAACTGACATTCATAGCCATAATGGTTAATTGTTCTGTGATTCCCACCACATCCAAGGAGTAGACATTAGTTTCACCAATTCCATGGCAAGGTGTGTTAAAAGAGTTTCTGCAAGAAACCACATTTATAGTTGTCCCGTTGTTCACCTTACTATCAGAAAAGTTTCCAGTAAAATTATAACTGTCAGATCGAGCACATGATAGAGGGTTGACTGTCTGGTTGCAGAACTGGCCCCATATTGTTGAGGTTGTACATCCTTCCACACTCATGTTGGCAATAAAAGAATATGATGAGCCTCGAACAATCTGCAGTACCAGAGAATTAGCTGCAACCTCATTTCTCAGAAATGTTTGCAAGATTCAGGAATTTGTGGAATCAAGATCCCTTTAACGAAGAGGACAAAGAAGTTAATCAAAAAGAGTAATAGGAAATAAAAACTAGTTATAATGATCATACCATCTTTGATTGCGTCCTTGTATCTCCAACGCCATTGAAAAGACCAAGATACCAAACTCCTGGAGATATCTGAGTAAAAGACACATAAGTTAAATGCTGTCAACTATTGTTAACAGACAACAAATTTTAGAAAGAGCAATCACAATAGTGTTTGTGAAGTAAACCATGCGCCACCTTACCATAAAAAGGATATGGAGACAGAAAGTAAAACTAATATAAACAAAGAAAAATTCAGGGACGAGTTCTATTCCCATATAAGAAGAAATCTATTTAGCAAAAGTAAAAAAAAGATAAACCTGCTCATTTGTCAACTTCACTGATATATTTTTCTGCATTGGAAAACACTGCTCCACATACTCAAGATCTTCTAACCCCTTGGAAGATCCATTTGAGAGAGAACCTAACACTGCAAAAGAAGATTTTTTTCCAAAGGTATTTGAAATTATTAATCTTGCATATTTGAAACAACAAAATTGCACACACAGGCCGGTTGGGTCTTCATGTACCAACCAACAGGAAATTAAGAAAAAGGGAAGATGGGGATTTCTGAGTTCAGTTTATACAGAGCATACCTAAACCATTTAGAGCTGTCTCTGAGACATCCGGCAGAGGGAGACTGCCATCCCTCAAGCAGATCAATGGCAGAGTGCTTATAGGAACCTTTGCTATTCTTTTGACATCCTGCAAAAAAAAATTGAACAATAAGCTAATAGGAAAGCAAATGAATCGTATGGAACAGAATGAAAAGGTGATCTCGTGCATTCCCTTCAAAATTCAAGCCAAAAAAAGTTTTTGAAGAAAAAGAAAACATCAAGACAAAAATAACTTCAAAAATGATCTTACAATCAATTAAAGCATCAAACATGCTTAAATACAGATATTAATTACATTTGTAGGGCATTCTTTTGCAAATCATGTCTACAAGGGCTTGTAAATTAAAGATAATATTAAATTCAAGTAACCGGAGTCCGAAAAGAAACTAAAAACTCAGTAATAAGGCCCAACAGCATCTGTTATGATAAAAAGACCTCACATTCTTTAAACAAAGATCTGCAACTTACAAGGTCTACGTCTGATTCCAACTGTATAGACAATGAAGAGAACCATGCTGGCAAATCAACTTGAACAAGACACAACACCAAACCAGTTAGATATTAGCATTGTTAATTGATACCAAAAATAAAAAATAAATTAAGAAAATAAGAAACGAAATAATGTTAGCATTTACAAGACAACAGAAGAAAAATAATAATAATTGAGACACAACAGAAAGAGTTCAGCCATTAGGTCACTTTCTATTGACGACCAATTCGAGCAACAAACTCATCATTAACTACTACTCAAAATCAATTAATCGCAATCCCAAATCCAACGCGAAAGCTGACATTTTAACTGATTCTGCAACAAATATGTAGTTTTGATCGGTAAAACTCAAAGAGTAACACTTGTAATACGAACATCATAAATTAAGTAGCTATTAAGAAAACAGAAAACGGTGATTCTTGCATTAAATCTGTTTAAAAAAAAAAAAACCTCGATAATTGTCCAATGAAAAGCGTAATTAATAAACTAAAACTACAACACCAGAGTTAACTAGAAGCACACGTGAGAGTAACAACAACAATCAGCAAACGCATTGATTAAAGAAATTTGATGACATACCTCTGATATAACGCGAATCAAATGGTCTGAGACGGGTTTCAGGGTATCTAAAGCTAGATACGGAGAAAGTGTTATACGTATCGAGCTCAACAAGCGAAAAACAGCGAGTACTGGAAGAGGAAAAAATCAACAAAAGAGTGAGAATCAGATAAGAACAATGGTACAGAATCAAATTCTCTACCATTTTTCTTTAAATATTTCGGGGAGGATTCTCTTGGAACAAAAGATAAAAGAGATGGTTTTTAATAAAAATTTTGGTTAGTGTGAGTGGTTAAGGAAATGGGTATTTAAGTTTCTTTCTTTGTTTAATTAATAATACAATCGAGAATTTGTGCCACGGTTGACTTGTGTTGGTCAAGCAGCCAAGGTAATCGAATCGAAGGAGCCGAGGATTGCAAAAACCACGCGCCAGTAAACAAAATGATCGGCCACGCCCTTTGGCTCTCAAATGACTGGGTTAAGGTTATGCCTAAGTGGGAAATTACATATATATATATATATATAGGAACTTCACCTTCTTTCTACTGTAAGAATAAAGAATCTTTGATTATACTGCAATTTTAGTTTCCACTTTATTTTTAAAACTACCATGTGTTACTTATGTGTTAACACGTAATATATTTCCATCATTACTATATTTGCAATATGTAAGGAATTAAATGAGTAAATTAATAATAATTGAATAGTAACTACCAACTTTCTCACGTGTGAAAAGCAAAGTCGAATACCTCGTGCCTCATGTCTCATGTCTGAAACCGAAAAAGTACAAGAACAAGACGTCTTGTCCAATATGCTGAGAATGGGCCCCACGTAGTTTTAAACATCCACCTGGCGAGCATCAAACGGTTATCACATAAAGTTAAGCATTGTACATTGTAGCACAAAAATAATCAAGAAAAAAGTAAAAAACTCCTTTTTCCCTCCTCCTTCATTTGGCTCTGCCATCTCCGTCTCCACGAGGACGACGACGTCGTCTTCTGCTTTCTCTTCAACTTGGTTAACTCGGAAACCCTAACTCACGCCTAATTCCTAAACTCCAAAGCAAAAATGACTGTGATAGATTTGATCACCAGAGTCGATGCGATTTGCAAGAAATACGAAAAGTACGATGTCGATAAGCAGAAAAACAACAACGTCGCCGGCGACGACGCTTTCGCTCGCTTATACGGCGCTGTAGAGGCGGACCTCGATGCTGCTCTCCAGGTACTTTATCGTTTAATTTTAGCATACTCTTTTCTCTCATAATTTTAATTTTTTTTTTAATTTGTTTAAGAAATCGGAGGCGGTCGCAACGGAGAAAAATCGGGCGACAGCAGTTGCCATGAACGCGGAGATTCGAAGAACGAAAGCTAAATTGCTTGAAGAAGTCCCGAAGTTACAAAGACTTGCTTTTAAAAAGGTCTAATTTTTAATTTAGACAGTGAATTGTGACAGAATAATATTCGTTTTGTTGATGGTAGTGTATTAACGAATAAATGAATGGGTTTGGAGTAGGTCAAAGGGCTTTCAAAGGAAGAGCATGAGGCTCGAAGTGATTTAGTTGCTGCACTGAAAGAAAGGATTGAAGCGATACCTGATGGATCAACAACTGCAGCTAAACAAAGTGATGGTGGGGCAACTTCGACCTCGTATACAGGAATCAAAATTGATTCATATTCAGGTATTAATAAGGAAGGTTAAAAATTTGCTTTCAGAGGAGGTTTGGGGATTAATGGGGAATGAAAGAAAAGGGTTACGTGGTCTATAATTAAACTGTTTGATCTCAAATGTTTTTACTTGAATTATGTCAGATGGGAAATTCGATAATGAGTACTTTCAAGAAACAGAAGAGTCGAACCAGTTCAGGCAAGAGTACGAAATGCGGAGGATGAAACAGGCAAGTCTATTGAATTGGTGGATGGATTATCGTGGTTAAGGAAATTTATAAGCTAAGTGTTTTTTATATCATGATTCATGAGTTGAATGGGGTGAATTTGAATTTATGCAGGATCAAGGTTTAGAAGTTATAGCAGAAGGATTGGACACGTTGAAAAACATGGCACATGACATGAATGAGGTTTGTTTGTGTAAATTCTTTCTGTTATTTGTGATGTAAAAGAAGTGGAATCAACTGTTATTTTCTCGATTGTCGTTTTGGCAGGAAGTGGACAGACAAGTGCCTATGATGGATGAAATAGATGAAAAGGTAATTCCCTATTGCTTTAATCATACCCACTTCCTTTATCCTTCCCAATCTGGCATGGGATCATAACAATATAACTTTGTCATCACAATACCACTCCTTTGAAGGTTATGGATTCCATTGTTATGATATTAACTTCAGTTTCCCTGAATACTTTTATTTATTTATGAGGGATTACCTGTCTTTTTATTCACTTTAAAATGAGTCTCCTGTATTGAAGGGACTTACTTGAAAGGTTTTATTTAACATCATCCAGGTTGACAGGGCTACCTCTGACCTCAAAAGTACTAATGTGAGGCTCAAGGATACTGTAAACCAGGTAAATTTATTAAGTGGGATAAGAAATTTATGGTCCAATTATTTATTCGTATATTAAATGAATGCCCTACCTCTTATTTCTGGTTTCGTTTTGTTTATTGATTTTATTTCAGCTGAGGTCCAGCCGCAACTTCTGCATTGATATCATTCTGTTGTGTATAATCTTAGGCATTGCTGCCTATCTGTACAAGTAATTATTTCCTTTGCTTGAAATGTTTGTATGACTACTGATGTTGAGATACAATGTTTTTTTTTTTTTTTTTAAAAAAATTCTTGGGTCAATAATATTTGATGAAACTAATAATTGTTGCTTTGTTGCAGTGTGTTGAAGTGAAATTGGTGTTCAACCTACAACTTCCACGACCTCTCTACTTTTCCAGGTCATGGGTCTTCTATGGCTTTAGGTTCTATTTGCGTTAACTTCTCCACTTGTATGTATTGTGGTATATTGTGTCTCCCTGGCTTGAGGATTTTTAGTGTTTATGTATAAAATTATATTTTTGGCCGTTTTATGGTAACTTTTTATCTTGTTTCATATACTAAAAATTTCGGCAATATGAGCTCCCATTTGTTTTATGACAATTTTCGTTAACAATATTTGTCAAAATCTTGATTTGATGAGAGAATCTGTACAAATTTCGAAGAAGTTTTAAGTTGAAATAAAAAAAAAATGAACAAAGTTTCTAATGAATTTCGGAACCTAACGGGTTCGTCAGAAAATTATCAGTTTTACCTTTGATTTTAAAAATTAAAGGTACAAATTGTTAGTTTCTAAAATCAAGAAGGTGAGATTATTCTCTATTTTATAATTTTGTTATTAGATTTTTGTCTTTTTAAATGGTATGTTTGTAGAAACAATGGCATTAATATAATGTTAGATAAAATATTAAATTAATTCATTTTTAAATATATTTTTAGCAAAAACATTATGTTATGTAAGGTGGTGGTTGTCATCTCACACACACGCATAAGCGCGTGAGTACACAAGTAATTTACCCATATGATTAGTTTTGATATTCCCTGTTGGGGATCAAAAATAAATTAGTAATAAATTACAAACTAGTAAAACTACTAGAGCTCCTTAAATGTCCCTGCTTCTTTTAGCACGACCACACCCTACGTGAAACTCGCAACTCAGCCACACCCTACTCGAAACTCGCAATTAAACCACAACCCTTTCTTCGCATTATCAGACTCTCACCCTAATTTGATGTGGAATTCTGCGTACCTCAACGCCTACACTGGTTCCTTTGGGTGGTTTAGNCACAAGTAATTTACCCATATGATTAGTTTTGAAATTCTCTGTTGGGGATCAAAAATAAATTAGTAATAAATTACAAACTAGTAAAACTACTAGAGCTCCTTAAATGTCCCTGCTTCTTTTAGCACGACCACACCCTACGTGAAACTCGCAACTCAGCCACACCCTACTCGAAACTCGCAATTAAACCACAACCCTTTCTTCGCATTATCAGACTCTCACCCTAATTTGATGTGGAATTCTGCGTACCTCAACGCCTACACTGGTTCCTTTGGGTGGTTCAGTAATTTGATAAGGGCTCTTAGCCTAATCATAGTCAGTAAATTCGCTAGTATAACGCGAATTATTATAATTCGCAAATTTCCATATTCTATCCATGAATTATATGCTTCAGGTTTTATTTTCATATTTTGTTCGTATCTGAATTTTTATAAATGAATTTTTTACTATTTATCGTATCATGCCCATAAAATTTTTGTATCTTTTTTTTTCCTGTACCTGTATTTACTAATTAAGGTGAGTTTTTATTATAGACTATAATTTGAATCTTAGTTATATTATTTATTTATTTTATTTGTTTGGAGCTCTCATTCGACTTTAAATTTTAGTTTGTTATGTGTTTGATTTGAGACTATAATTGAATCTTGGTTATATATTGTATTTTAGTCTGGAGACTATAATTTAAATCTCAGTTATATATTATGTTATATTATTAGGTCTAATAACTATTAATTAATTGAATAGTTTGCATTTAAAATGCTATATTGATTTTAACCAAGTGATCCATGAAAAGTGCTAAAACTAAGATTGATATTATCATATTTTTCAAAACATATTATTGATAATAAGTCGTATTAAACCCGTATATATTTATACTGTATTTTTCCTGTATCTGAATTTATATAAACGTATTTTTTATCATTTTCTGTATCATACCTATAAAATTCTCGTACATTTTTTAGTCGTACCTGTATTTACTAACTAGACTCTTAAGTGTATTACTCAAAAAATCTTGAGTTCGAGTTTTTCCCGATTGTTAATAAGAATGACCGTTACCTGATGAGTATTGTCAGTGCTGCAAAGAAATAGCTTAGGTTATGACCCAAAAGGAAAAAAATACACCGATTCATCCAACAAAGTAACTTAAACACCTTCTTTCATTTTAAAATGGGCCAAATACACAAAAATTGTTGTTAAATCATATTCTAATTTGTCTTATTATTTAAATATAGTAGTGTTTACAAAAATTTCAGGATTAACATAAATATGTTGAAGCTTTATTGTATGAGTGTTTAATGTAAGACAGTTGAGCTTGGCACGTATGACATAACATAACTAGAAAGTAGATGGTCTTGTTTCAAAACAAAACAAAAAACAACTAGCAATATATCCCAAGTTCCCCAACACACGACGACGCGCTCATATAAAACGCATTTCCCCATGAAAAAATAAAATAAATGTCGATGACAATGGATACCGAATTGTTTCTTAGCGGGCAACCGCAACGATGGCTCTGGATGCAGTGAAGTGAAGAATCAAATAAGAGTGGGGAGTCTTTTGCAATATATTTACCATGTGCTCCACCCTCATTACCGATAGATGATTTTCTTCCCTGAACCAAAAAAAAAAAAAAAAAAAAAAAAGCGAAACTCCCGGCAGGATGGTGTACTTGATGTGTACTAGAGTCTATAGACATAGTAAGACTAAGACTAAGAGAAACAAAATCAAAATACGAACGTGACAGTTTTTAATCTAATCAATTTCCCACACATTTCATTAATCATAACTATTCCTATGCCCTACTCTGTAGAGTAGCTAGGGTTTATTATTATTATTATTATATACTCGTTTTGGATGGCTTAGAGAAAAACCTTTAATTCTACCCAGTCAATGGATGTAATAAAAAGTAAAAACTGACTTAATTCTAATTATATAATCGAAAACTAGGTATTGAATTTTTACACGTGACATAGTTGAGTTCGTGGTTGATACTTTAACTAATAAATTTAAACACAAATGACGTTGACATTGGAGTTTGTCTTGCGAAGTTGGCGTCCACAAAGTAACTTCGACCCTGCCCCTATTTATGAATTACAATTTCTAATCTAATCTAACCTAACCTAACCATTTTCCTGATTTTACCAAGTGTGGGATGTTATATTATAATATTACATTTTGGAAAAAAGTTTTAATGGTCCATTATTGTCACCTTCATTGAGGCAGTGACATACACAGTGCCCCACTTTGCCGCTCACTCTTTAAAAAGTAATAAACTAATAAATACATTATTTGATGTTATTATTTTTATTTTTCCATTATATTACTTATGAAAAATGCTAGAATAGTAAACTTCTTCTTACAAATTTCTTTTCAGAATTTCGGTGTGGTAGCTTGTAATTGATCAGTTTATAATGGGTCTTATCTGGTCTCATCTGATAAATTGCGTCTGACCAATTGCTAGCTACCATGTCGGAATTGTGAGAGAAAATTTGTGAGAAGGGATTGTGGGTGTAGCATTAGTCATTATTTATTAATGACATAGTTATATGCAAAATTAGTTAGTTTTTTTTTTTTTCTTTTAAACTGATGGTTATTTTAAAATTCTTCAAAAAAAATTTAAACTAATTTAAACTTTAAGCAAATTTAATTTAAAATAATTACTCATAAATGACATGATGGTAAAAGAGTAAAATGAGGTTCTATGAACTTCTAAGTTCGAGTCTCCCAAGCAATAATAAGGGTGGCCACTGACCTACTGAAGCTATTACCCGTCTGATAGTTTTAAGACTCCGAAAGATTAGTTGAGATACATATAAGTTGGCTCAAATACCCTCGATAATAAAAAAAAAAATATTTAAAAATATTTCATAAGAGAGATGATTGAATATACTCCCAGTTACAAAGATATCATAACTAAGATGGTTTTCAGTAAAGAATTTCCATATTTTTAAACTTTTATCTTACAATTATAACTAATTAGGTTTAAGTTTAACTCTAAGGAAAATAAATTTAAAATATTTGAAACCTAATAGACATTCGCAATCACTAGAACCATAAAATGCCACGTCATTACACAAATAAAAAATCAACGCAAACCAACAGCACAGGCTGAAATTACAAAAACACCCTTGCATTTCAAAACAGTGATTAGTACAATTCCTCGGGTCCAGTTGAAACACACCGTAGACATCCTCCTACTGCCATGTTAATCGAGTGATGCTAATCTCACCAGTCAAAAAACTTCTAAATTCTAATAACCCTAAACAACTTACCCAAAGTTAAAAACAAACCTAAAAGAAAAATAAACACCGATAATTTTCAACCGATTAAATACAAGAACAACAAACCAACATCAGTTTTTCCCCATTCCATCTACATAAGCGACTTCAATGATCTTGCTTTCACTGGTTTCCTCATTCTCTTCTTCCCACTATCTCCATTCTCGTCATCCTCATCGTCTTCGTCATCTACAAAATCAATATCTTCGATTTGAGAAGAAGGCGGCGTTGTACTCTGCTGATTCATATCCTCAACTTCTCTATCTTCAACCTTTTTCCCTTCATTTACTTTATCACCTCTCCTCTTGCCCCACAAAGGCCCAAACCCAGAATAATAGTAAAATTCATATGGATTGGACGACGATGACGAACCCTTCTTGGCCCGAGCTCGGCCTCTACGCACTGCTATTCCCTTATCGGGTTTCTTACTAAAAGAAGAAGTGTTATTGCCGTAAGATTTGGTTAACGATAAGTGATGGTCGCACATGGTGTACCCATCTTTGGCTTCATTTCTGCATTGCCAGCCCTTGCCGTCAGTTTTGATACAGTACAACGTTTTGTATTCTTTCTCAAACCCAAATTTATCTTCCATTTTCGTTTCTTCATTATCTTCCATTCCATTATCGTCAATAATCATATCTTCGACCTTGAACATCACTGCCTTCTCTTCTCCGTCCATCATCGAAGCCACGCTGCGTATATATAGAACACATTTACAACCACAGGCCACTCATACTTCTTACCCATTACAAATTTTGGATAATTACTGCTATACCATACAACTATTCCAAGTGATAAAGGAAAAACCCTAATGCTCCAAGGAGAGAAAAATACGAGATAAAATGTGTATTAAAGATTCGATTTGAAGAAGAATAGTAGATTACCTCTCAACAGCGCCGATAGAGTCTCCAAAGCTCCCATTTCCCGTAAAGCTATCTTCTCCTTCCAACTGATAAATAAAACGCAGGAGAATGAAAAGCAAAAGAAAAGATAATAGCGCGAAATGGTGACGACCCCATACCCTAATCGGCTATTTGAAGGAGAATACACGACAAAAACGAGAAAATTTAGGGTTTTAATGAAACCCTAATGGGATATAATCACAAAACCCTAGAACCCAGAAGAGAAAATGCAGGTAAATGAAGGTAAAAGGAGAGAGCAGTGAAGAGGGTTTTGGTAGATCTGTGATAATATCGACAAAAAAGAGATAGATAAAAACACACTAACTCACCTGAGGATTGAAAGATGGGTAGGTCTCTTGAGAGAACGAAATCACATCCCATGGCGACTGGTTCAGCTGGCACACGTGTGTCTGCAGACTCTCTGGTGTTGAAGCGTGCGAATACAATATCGAAGAGAGCTTTGCGTTTTTGCGAATCCTCATATTCAAAGATAGATAGACACAGATGTAATAGAGACAGCTATTTATATTAGATCTTAAGCTTTTCTATTTTCTATTTTTCTATTTACTTTTTTTTTTTTCACTTCTCTCTCTCACAGGCCAAGCCGGGTCTCTCTCTCTTGGTTTTATTTTTGCAGATCTCACAGAACTCGATAATCAGGGTTTCTTAACTTTCTGTTGCTTTCTCGGCCCTTCATATGTTTCGTTTCGTTCTTTTCTCTTGACATTTTTACCCTTTGTTTTTCATTAATTTCCGCATATTTCTTTGGGAGAAAAGAAAGCTGGCCGCTATTACACGTCACGCTAGTTGTCCAAAGCTATTGTTTTTCTTCTGTAGCCTGAGAATTTATCATCTGCAATCGCTTACATCTTAACCTCCAATGGCTTCTCAAAATTAAGCAAATTTAAATGACTTATTGTTTTTGAAACAAAAAAAAATTCAAACATTTTATACGATTAATGTGATATCAAATGAATAAAAATTGAAATTCTAATAAAATTAAATAGTTTGTATATATAATTATTTATTTTAAAATTTTAAGAAAACCTACGTGGCATGTTTATAAATTTATGTGAAGAATATATGACTGCGTGCGTGATTGTGGCAATAGGGGAGGAAGTCTGTCCAACATGGAGTAGGGGTATTTAGGTCAATAAGATTAGTTCTAAAAAAATACATTAAAATACATATAAACCAAACATCTTTTCTCCTAGAACAGAGAGGAAATAATGAAGCGTGAAGACACGCGCTAAAATGCACGCTCGTATGACGAAGTGGCAAACAAGTATGGCCCATATTAAAAATGGATTTGATGAGTGTACTGCATCGGTCCCACTCTTGTGAACTCAATAAACGGTTTTGGATGCACAAGAAGTAGATAATACAGTGCGAAGAGTGCAGAGAATTATCCAGAGCTAGTGTTAGAATGTGTAAATTATAAGAGCAGAATCTGATAATTCCAAAACATAGCGTAATAGTAATAGTAATAATAATATGAATCATATGATTCTATTTTAGGCTATTTTCGCCTACGTGTAAGTTAAAGCATTTATCCTAGGCCAGAGGTTGTCCCTCTCATTAAAAGCTAGCTCTAATTACAGATATAAAGTTGAGTTGGATTTATATTTTGAAGATTCTTTCTAAAGCGGTGATGGAGATCATGTTTAAGATGTGGAGTCAACAACAGTTGACCTTCAATTACAAATTTTTTTAATTTATTTTAGAAAATTAATTCTCTTTTTTGCTTTTATTTTAAAATCAATTTATTTTTCTGAAAGAATACGTGGCATTAATCAAACAAATTATAGTATATAGTTCGTATGAAGGGAATGAGTATTTGTTTTAGTAACTGGTGAGGGGATAAAGTGTATTTTGGTTGGCGGAGGACCGAAACGTTGAAACATACTTTGTGCAGTTAAAAAGGCGCACAGTCTTTTCAATTAAAAGCAAATATCATCCACCCCAGAAAAATTTAACTTCATCACTATATCTCCGGACCCCCTATAAAATGACTAGACAGGACCTCTTGTGTGGGGTACCGTTATCTACGCTTCCACCCATGTTGTATCACATTTTGTCACTAAATATATCAATTAATAACAAAAGTTTGTAAAAATAATTATTATTAATAATTAGTTAATGTTCAAAATTTAATATAATTAATTTTAAATTTTTATGGGGTAGATTATGGAATCTGAGAAAATCCGGTGATGAGTAAGGCTGGATAGACACTATTCGTTGATATTTTTCTTCTGTGTTTGTGTGTGATTTAATTCTTCAGTTTTTAAAGGTTTCTTCTTGTTTGTTTTTGAAGGGTTTGTGCATGATCCAACGGTGATCAATAAAAAGTCGGCAGATATTGTGACGCACGTGTTTTTAGTACATAAAAAGTTAAGAGAGGAAAACTCAAAAGCACCAGCCACCAGCATGTAAGTCAATACAGTAAATAGTTATTGATGGTATTTGTGAATGTATACATCTGTTCTTTGCTTCAGTTCTCGCCCCGCCATGATGATGGAATTATATTCTAACTTCTTTTGAAGTAACATATGACAGTAGTTAGATAGTGCTGCTGGTGTCAAAAAGATAGGAGATAATTCATGAAATTAGGAGTCGGTGTGGGTGGGTGGTGTCAGCACTGCTATTTGATTTGATTTCTCTAAAACATCATTAGACATTCGAACCAAGTTTATAAACATATTTTATTTGAAAACAAAATCCAATTCAATATGATACCGGAAAAATGAACATAACCTTAGATTACTCTACATCTGTGACCATTTCCCATATAAGATGCCCATCTCAAGTGCGGGCAAAGATTATATTAATTAAATTAAAGATGCGAAGTATCCCTGAGAATAACATCAGGAACCATTGAATCATCCTCTTCGTCATCATCCAATATGTCATGAGGAGTCTGCATTTGTGATAGCTGCTGGAATTTTGGAGCAGTACTCCGCACTTTCTTTTTCAATAATTTCTTCGCATAAAAAGTTCCCCCTGCAACTGCTCCTACTGAAAATAAAACGCCCAACACCACCATTGTCCACTATGAAGAGAAACACAAATGAACCTCATCAGTTGAGCTCGGTGATAAAGGGAAAAGAAAAGAAAAATAATACTCACATTTGTATTGTTAATACTTCCGACTTGGGAAAATTTGGTTGTGGTTGAATCCCTAGATGAATCTGAAATAATTTGTGTGATATTTGTCAGAACCTGTATAAATTAACCTAGAAAATGTAGAGAGAATGGAAAGTAAGACACGCAAAACATAACTCAAGTGTTAACTGTGTAATTTAGCTAGTTAATCATTTTATGATCGTGTTGTAGCTAGGAACATCAATAGTTATAGATTCAAACCCAAATTAGATCTACAGTACTGGAAGTCTGCAGGAAAAGTTGTACACATGTATATATAATTTAACAACTAGTAAAAAACGTTTTTGATAAGCACACCTGTTAGGGGTTTTGTTGGGACAGAACAGTCGGCACTTCCTTTCCAATCAGGCGGACAATTGCAAGCTTCTCCTTCAACCAAGCACTCAGCTAGATGAAAACAGAAAATTTGACCACAAGGCACCCCGCGATGCTCACAATGCTCTCCTGTATACCCTGGAACACACTTGCACTCATATTTCTCACCCTGGACAATCTCTTTACAACTTCCTCCATGTTCACACCAAAACGAGTTTGTTCCATCACACATTGTCATCTCCTCATCACAAAACTCTCCTCTGCATATACATTCCAAACACGACATTAATTTTCCATTATATACCTTCATTATCATTATTGACACAATATTCTAGCTTCGATTTTCTTTTACTTACCCGAGAAATGAGCGATCACCCTCTAAGATGGTGGATGGATCTGGAAGATTACAAATGCAACCACCGCTACTGTTGCACGACCCAGTTTTGCATCTTCTGTCATCGCATGGTAAAGAATTCACATTCAATGATCCAAGCAACAAGTAAATAACTATAAGCACAAATTCAACTAATCTAGGCATCTCAAAATGTTGAGAGAAAGACAGAGAAAGGTAGTTTTGATTGTTCTTGTCATGTGTGCTTTCTTTTTTTGTGTTATACAAAAATTAAGATCGACCAATAAGAGAGTCTTCAGGTTTAAGCAAAGTTAGAGAGAGAGAGAGATGGATGGAGGGAATGATATGTTGGTTGTGAGATGAAAGCGAAATTGAAACTATCACAGACGCATTCAGTTAAAATTACGTATACTAGGCTTGATAGTAATTGTATTTCCTTCATTGGACTGAAGGACAGATCTGGAATTTAATTGTTTCCAAGGTGTTTTTGGTGAAAGGTAGAGTGTTGTTTCATTTTGGAGGGTAGTGAAGTCAAACAATGCATGGTAATAGTTTATTCCAATTTTGATCCAAGGAAGTCATCACTATCAACGAATCACGTTTATCGAGGTTTAAATCAATAGAGACTTGGGCTGAGCTTTAAGAAAAGAAAGCAATTGGGCCACAAGCAGAACTGAACTTCTGCTTTAAAGTGGCCTCCTCTTGGGGCCTAACTTTGCTTTACGACTAAGAGGGCACCGGCTTTGGGCCACAAAATATTTTCTTCACGTTTAGGTTAAAGTGTGTAGATACAGTTGCATCAATCATAAATTTTGATGTTGGTGGGCCACGATAACAGATGCGTATGCGCATGTAGAATGGAAAATAGGTAACCTGGGTGGCTGACCCTAAAAAAAACACAAGGATTTAATGGGTCTTGTAAGTTCGAGTTTCCTTAATGATAAAAGAGTAAAAAAAAGATATAATATAAACTCTCAAGAGAATGATTTAACATGATTTTTTAAACTTGAGTTTTTTTTAGGGTAAAAAAATAAGAGAATGATCTAATATGATTTATCAAGTTAGAGTCTCCATGATTACTAATAAGAGTTGCTCCTGGAGTTTGTACCGACCAATAATTTAAGGACTAGAGGATGGCCAAAGTATATGTAAACCTGGACACCAGTTAAAAAAAAAAAAGAAAAAAAAAAAAAGAAGTTACAGTAATACTGCCCTAATGAATGATTTATTTTTGTACAAACAGGGCCTGTTTTGTTCTATCAACTTAAGTTATTAGTACTCATGGTACAGAGATTGCTGCTACCGAGGCACATGATTTGTACCTTCCTAGTTCGCAGTTCCACTATATTTCATCACGAAAAAAGAAATCATAACAATATCTTAATGGAAAACCAGAGCTACTGTGATTATTACTCTTAGATAAGATTCTTTTACTTTCTTTTTACGCTAAGCATCAAGCATAGGATACTCTTTCAAAGTCTGTTAAAAGTCTTTCGGCTTATGATTATTATATGATGATGATGATGAAGAAGTTAGATCTTAACCGTACATAAAATTTGATTTATCATAGAGATAGTTTCTGTACCCTTTGAGATGTTACATATACTAAAAGCAGAGCCAGAGCCCCATTCATTATTTGTCTTATTGTACAGTTTAGCAGAGATAGCTTAGCTGTAACTACAGCTTACAGAGCCTGAGATAGGGATGGCTCAGGCGCAATATCCAATGTTAAATTTGAATGCACCCACCACCACCGACCTTTTAGTGTTACTTCTTATCAGATCAACATGAGCTCGCAAACACAAACCTGACCTGCACTACTCATCATCATTACCCTGTCTTCAACCTGCTGTAATTATTTGCTTTGGAAATTATAATTGGTTAAGTCCTTCTCCTAATTAACAATAAACATTTTAGTCTTAAAATAATGGCCATAATTGAATTCATTTATGACGATCCATTGACACATACTGACAAGATCCTAACAAACCGGTCAGCCACCTGCTTAACAAACTTAATTTAATACAATATTTCAAACCCCCTTGAGAAACCAAACCACATACCTACATACGTAACTTGAAACTTTCTAACTCTAATTTAATTCCTCATCAACGAACAGATTAAACCATTTGTTCTCTAGNCCCTAATGAATGATTTATTTTTGTACAAACAGGGCCTGTTTTGTTCTGTCAACTTAGTACTCATGGTACAGAGATTGCTGCTACCGAGGCACATGATTTGTACCTTCCTAGTTCCACTATATTTCATCACAAAAAAAGAAATCATAACAATATCTTAATGGAAAACCAGAGCTACTGTGATTATTACTCTTAAATAAGATTCTTTTACTTTCTTTTTACGCTAAGCATCAAGCATAGGATACTCTTTCACAGTCTGTTAAAAGTCTTTCGGCTTATGATTATTATATGATGATGATGATGAAGAAGTTAGATCTTAACCGTACATAAAATTTGATTTATCATAGAGATAGTTTCTGTACCCTTTGAGATGTTACATATACTAAAAGCAGAGCCAGAGCCCCATTCATTATTTGTCTTATTGTACAGTTTAGCAGAGATAGCTTAGCTGTAACTACAGCTTACAGAGCCTGAGATAGGGATGGCTCAGGCGCAATATCCAATGTTAAATTTGAATGCACCCACCACCACCGACCTTTTAGTGTTACTTCTTATCAGATCAACATGAGCTCGCAAACACAAACCTGACCTGCACTACTCATCATCATTACCCTGTCTTCAACCTGCTGTAATTATTTGCTTTGGAAATTATAATTGGTTAAGTCCTTCTCCTAATTAACAATAAACATTTTAGTCTTAAAATAATGGCCATAATTGAATTCATTTATGACGATCCATTGACACATACTGACAAGATCCTAACAAACCGGTCAGCCACCTGCTTAACAAACTTAATTTAATACAATATTTCAAACCCCCTTGAGAAACCAAACCACATACCTACATACGTAACTTGAAACTTTCTAACTCTAATTTAATTCCTCATCAACGAACAGATTAAACCATTTGTTCTCTAGTAGCCACAATAATAGTAATATATATAAGGGGGGAAAAAAAAAACAAAATTGGAACCCAACATGAAAAAAAAGCAAAGAAAATAGCTCCTGTTTGTAATATTCACTAGTGAATTTGTCCGGAGAAAATAATACGAGTAATTAACTTTTTATGTTATTACGTACCAAATTTTCAAATTTTTTTTTCATGTATATATACAACTCAACGCACAAAAATCCTTCACCGATTTCACCCCTAGAAAAAGTCTTTACAACCCTGGAATCGAACTGTACTCACTGTAAAGATCACCAACCCCAGAAGCAGCCCAGAGCCGTTGATTAAACTCCTCTTGCATCTCATCAGGCACAAACGGTGTCCTACAAAGAGGACATGTTTTTTGATCGTGGTCCATCCAAGGGTCCAAACAAGCCCTGTGAAAAATGTGCTTACAGTTCCTCAACCACCTGATCTCTTCTCCACCTTCAAACTCATACAAACACACAGCACAATTTTCTGGCGACTCTCCGCCGACCACCAGGTCCTGGAACTTGATCACAGGTAGGATTTCTCGGATCAGGAGAGCGGATACGGGCGGGTTTTCAATAATCCGGGTCGAGCTTGAATCGACCCAAATGACATCTGTTTCGAGAAAATCAGAGAGGCCCAGATATTGAAAGAAGCAGAAAATGATGTTTCTGATGAAACCCAGAAAGAAAAGTGTGTGAACAAAGAGCTTTGGCAAGAATACTTCTGTGTACCCGACCGGGAAACCCATGGAACTTAATTAAGAGAGAAGAGTTGTTTATGAAGTAGAGAGTTATGGTTAGCGAGAGTTATATAAAGAGAGAGTTTTCTAAGAGAGAGATAGAGGAAGCTTCTGTTTCGGCTACGGCTTGTTTTAATGCTTTCTATAATTTATATATATGAGTCTATGATTGTATTTTTAGTACAGAGTACCATGAAGGTGATACAGTTACAGACTGTCGTTTTAGGGTTTAGGATGAGCCAATTAAAATAGACGTTAACGGAGCTTCATTAGGTGGGTCCCACATCAAGAAGGCAATTTAATTGGTGGGTGAGCCATTGATAAATTTTGTTTAACCGGGTAAATTTATTATTCAGAGAAGGCTGCGTTTGGCTTATTCTTAAAAGATTAAAAAATGGTAATAATTTATTTCCACAAGTTCCAAAATTATACACGTGTCACGTGGTGTAATTGGAAGGGTGGAGGAAGATGATGGTGGATGCTCCATCATCTCACTGTTGTTGAATTATCTTTGCCTCTCTCTATAGGCTAGGGGTTACCTCGAACAAAGAAGATTTCTTCAATAAACCCAAGCCGCCTCATTGTGATTTTTGCAAAGTTTACTTGAATATTTTATTGATTTGATATGATGATGAGGCGAGGGGTCCAAATATATATAGTAAGCATTGAGGAAAACAAAGCAATAATATAATCTCTTCAGAAAACAAGAATTAAAGACGCATTAGTGTTTTAATTATATTTGTTCAGGTGTGTGTGCGTCCATCTCCATCCCATCACAAATCATTGTTTGCAGACCACAAACGCACAACTTGAAATATTGTATTCTCAATTCCCATCTTGCTCTTCCTCATCTCCTAGCCCATACACCACCTTTTTTTTTTTCTCAGCATAATCATTCATTTTTGCTGATATTTGTGGCGTAGCTTTGAGGAAAAGAAAGGTGGAAGTTGGCATTCTTCAAATATTAATTATAAAGCTTAAGATTTACAAATTCCGTGTTTTAAAACAAAAATGTATTTGTTGTTTGTTTATTTTCTAAGCATTTTATTTTTTATATTGTAGTGGGCGTAGCAGTAGCATATTTGATGCCCCACCTTCAATGTTGGTTGATCATGGACAAAAAGGGAGGAAATAGTGCATCTTTACACAAATTAAAAACACAATTCAATGACATTTAGTCTTAAAAGAAAAAGCAGTGATGAAATCAGCTCCAAATAAACAGTGTGAGGGTGGGGTAGTCCCATGATAACAAGAGAAGACGAAGGCCCATGCATAAAATTCGAAAGTAAAGTGGTAGGGCAATACAGAGAATTGAGACAGGACAAATATCGTCGGTGGTGAGAACCCCGGCCAACCAGCAAAGCGTCATGGGTGGATTAGTTTTGAAAACAAAGTCACCATCACCACTGTTAACATTAAGTCCAAACGGACATTTTAGAATTTTTGCTTTGCCTTCCCAATCCAAGACACCTTATGCCCCAACTGCCCCTCACACTCCATTCCAGTTCACCCCTAACATTCAAACTTCACTCTACGTCTCTACCATATATTAAGGGTGATCGATTATGTGTACCCTGTATTTTTTGAAGGTCGATTCCAAAGATTTGGAGGGGTAACCGGAACCTAATTTTGGGTACCCCGGTGAACTTAATTACTCCCTTACGTTTTGAAAAATAAAAAATACACCCCAAAAAATTTCATACACCCCAATAGTTTACCCAGATACTTGGACCTTGGTTCCAATTTTCTAGATCCGTAACCAGATTTTAATGGCTCACCCTTACTATATAAAGCAATTTAATTTATAGGCGGTGATTCTGAAGAGAAATTAGATGATGGTATCGCAGTGCAGTATAGGTGGTTAGGTAAAAAGGTTTGGTGCACCCAAAAATCAATTAAGTATAGTTGATGTGAAATAAAGAAGTGATGAAGTTTTGATTACAAGGGGTCCTAATGCTTAACTGAAATGTCGAGGGACCCAATTCATATCCCAAATGTTTTGATCTCTGTCTCGCTCACCACCTTCAACTATTATCTTCTATTTCTTGACTAATTATTTGGATTTTTATAATGCTCTCATTTTGGTGGTTTTGATGCGGACATGCTTCTTGTTTCTATCCACTCAATTCTACTAACAACCTTCTTCATCTACTTCTCACATATCTTGTTTTTAATTGAGTCAACTGTCAATTTTGCCACTTGCTTGATTTGCATTAATGGAATCATGGATTTCAAAAGTTCACCCAAACCCAACTACCCATGCTCAGCCTTTTTATTTATTTGATGGGCCTTGGAATTAGCTCGGGTTAGTCCCAGTTTCGAATATCCAGTTGGGGGGTTTAGCAATAAACTTCTAATTCTTGGGTTGGGCTCAAAGATCACATCGAAGAGCCCAATAGTTAAAATCCCATTGGAGAACATAATGTCCATAGTGAGTCAACTCTAGTCAAAGCAAGGACGGTTACTCGTTGTACATCCCTTATATTATATCTGATCTTAACTTCTTTAATGTACGAGTAAATTTACGACTTTTGAAAAGCTAATTTGAAAAGATTACGTTATGATCTTATAAATCTAAATCGTAACGGTAATAAATTTGTTCTTACCGCGGGTACGGTACCTGAGAATTGAGATGCTCTAGCATTAATTGCAGTAAAAAAGTGTGCCAGGTCAGAATGGACACACCCTTCTATTTAAGTCCACGTCAGATATTCATGGGACAAGTAGAACGTCTATTTTCTCATCAAATAAAGAAAAAATAAATAACCGAGAATCGCTTCGGGTCTACGAAACAAGACGAGATCTACCATTTCAACATAAATATTTCAGATCTAATGATTCATAGACCTCTGTAACAACACAAACCCAACCGAGACGACCAAAATGTACATGTCGTATGGATGGCCACAGGTGATCCCACTGGAGCAAGGACAGTGTCCGTCGTCTCAACGGATCATATATTTGAAAGTCATCAGTGGCTTATTACTCGTTGTGTCTCCTTCTCATGTCGAGCTGTGGAGTTCCTCGCAGGTACTTTTTTGAATTTTATGCATTTATTCAGTAGTTAGGGTTCTTAATTTTATGTTTTTAATTTGTAAATTTGGGGTTTATTTACAGCACAAAGTGAGGTTAGGGAAATATAAGAGGGATTCAGAGTCGGTGCAGAGAGAAGGCGAGAATTTACAGGCCGTGTGGAGTCCCGATGGCAAATTGGTCGCTGTGATTGTAAGTTTCTGGATGATTTGTTCTTGTATGTGATTTCTTGAACATTGCGTTGAAATAACGTTGACATTGTTTAAATTAGAGTCAATTTGCTTGAATTAGTGTTCACTTTAACTGATTAGTGTAACTTCTAGTGTTTGTTTTGATTACGTTGAAATTAACTATTATTTTCTTTTATAAAAGCTATAAAGCAATGCCTTTAACGCTTAATTTGTGCGTTTGTTTGCTTGCTTGCTTGGCAGACGTCATCTTTATTTCTTCACATTTTCAAGGTCCAGTTTACAGAAAAAAGAATACAAGTTGGAGGAAAGCATCCTTCTGGTTTGTTATTGGCAAATATATTTCTCGTTCTCAGTGAGCAGGTGCCTTTTGCAGAAAAGGGCTTTTCAGTGTAAGTACCCGTGCTTTTTAGTTTGGGTTGATGTTTGATTTCTCCTTTGACTTAAATTTTCAAGGATGTAGAATTTGATTGAAGTCGATTTCTTCTTCCTTATCTTAGGAAAGTTTGTGGGAGTTGATTTGATGTTTCTCATTCTGTGTGGTTATTGGGCAATCCAGACACAATAAAATCTTAGTCACACGTAAATGATGGTAGAATTTCTCCTCTTCTTTAAGCGACATACACTTTACTGAGGTCGTTAGTGAGTCAGTGCCTCTTTGTTCTGGTGTTCTTTATTTGTACTTATTGAGAAGAAAATTAATAGAATGAACAGCTGTATGGATGTATCCAATTTATATTAGTCACAGTTTTCGGTGTTTTTCCGTGAGAAAATATATGCTACTTGGAATTTGAATTATTGAATATGATGTCGATCTCATGGAGAAAGTGTTGACAATGATTTTTAGGAAAACTGATTGATCTATCAATTTATGTTTCGTATGTTGCTTTTGGCTGATTGACATGATGTATACTTGCCAATTTGTTTATGCTTTGATTTTGTATGCAATTCTTCTGAAGTCTGATCCTGCTAGTCTTCTTGTAATGTTATTTTTCTTTAGGAGCAATATTGTGAGCGATAACAAACATATGCTACTTGGACTTTCTGATGGATCTTTATATGGTATCTCATGGAAGGGGGAGGTAATCTGAATATGATTCACATTAGCGATTTTGAGCATACAGTGAAATAGCACTAATTTGTAGTATTAGTCTATTTATTTCTTTTAGCTCAGTTTATTTAGTAATATCCCATTTAATTATCGATACTCTTTTCTACAGTTCTGTGGAGCATTCGAACTCAATCACTTTCCAGATGATAGCAGCACAGTGACACCGTTACAAAATTCTCTGAGTAATGGCCTTGCGTCTGCAGAGACTTCAGGAGCTTTTGTGCCTGATCTCAAAGTCTCCAGAAGGTGTGCTACTGCTATCGTTCAGCTGGAGCTTTGCTTTCCAATGAGACTGCTTCTTGTTCTATATTCTGATGGAAAACTGATGTCATGCTCTATAAGCAAGAAAGGTTTAAAGCAACCCGAATTTATTAAAGTTGAAAAAGAGTTGGGTTCTGGTGATGCTGTATGTACTTCAGTGGCGTCGGAGCAACAAATCCTTGCTGTTGGTACCAGAAGGGGGATTGTTGAGCTATATGACCTGGTGGAATCTGCATCACTCATTCGTACTGTGTCTTTGTATGACTGGGGGTAAGGCAAAAAACTGGGGCTAACATGTTAGTTTTGAATTTTAGATCTTATATCTTTTACTGAAGTTTTTATGAGTTTCTGAAGGTAAATCTCTGGTATGCCTAATCTAAGGTTTCTGAAATAATATTCACCTCCTCTTAGTCTGTACTGTTACATTGACTTTACTCACATCTGTTCTTCAAATCTGTGTGGTGGTCGGTTCTGATATAACTATACTCTAGTATGTCTGATGGAACAGTTATCTTGTTATCAATGGATAGGGGTATGGACCTTTGCTGAATCTGAGGACTGAAGTTATCTGTCCATGGGTTTGTGATTTGTCCAATTTTTTATTATGTTAGCTACTGTATAGAAAGCTTTAAGTTAGTGGACTTTTGCCTGTTTTATCTGAATAGTAGTTATACTGAAAAACTGAATATAAAAAAAAAGGGAAAAATGTAAGGGAAAGAAAAATGCATATGAGAGTGATGTACTTGATTTATTTTGTATTTTGCAGATACTCAATGGATGATACTGGTTCTGTCAGTTGTATTGCATGGACACCTGATAATTCTGCTTTTGCTGTTGGGTGGAAGTCAAGAGGACTTACTGTGTGGTCTGTTTCCGGGTGTCGTTTGATGTCAACAATCCGTCAGATTGGCTTAAGTTCTGTATCTTCTCCAGTTGTGAAGCCAAACCAAGACTGTAAATATGAGCCACTAATGAGCGGCACCTCGCAGGTTCAGTGGGATGAATATGGATATAAGCTTTACGCAATTGAGGAAGGATCTTTGGAGCGAATTCTTGCATTTTCCTTCGGCAAATGTTGCCTTAGTAGAGGAGTATCTGGCATGACATATGTCCGTCAAGTAATTTATGGTGAAGATAGGTTATTAGTTGTGCAGTCTGAAGACACTGATGAACTTAAGATTATACACTTAAACCTTCCAGTTATGCACCGAAACTACAAACTATAATTAATACAATAAAATTTTGTCATTTACCATATGGGTGTCTCTAATATGCTTTTGCTTTGGCCCAGGTTTCTTATATTTCCCAGAATTGGCCTGTCCAGCACGTGGCAGCTAGCAAGGATGGAATGTACTTAGCAGTTGCTGGTCTTCATGGGTTAATCTTATATGATATACGGATGAAAAAGTGGCGAGTGTTTGGAGATATCACTCAGGAACAGAAGATTCAGTGCAAAGGTTTGCTGTGGCTGGGAAAGATTATTGTTGTCTGCAACTACATTGATTCTTCTAACACGTGAGCTATATTATTCCATTTATGTCTTTTATGGATAATTCTCTAGAGGTTGGCTTTATCTGTTGAAATATATTAATAAGTTATGAATATATGGAAGTATAGTTGTCAAAATGCCTGGATGAGTCTTGACAGTGATCTGCTGGTTGCTATTTGCCCTATGCAAATGTCTCAGGATTAATGTCCTTTTACTTCTGTATTTGGTAGTTCACATTCCGTTCCTCGCCTATAAAGCATTTTTTATTATTTATTTTAAGAAGGGGGAGTAGTAATATTGTTCAAATGTTTGTTTCATTTCAGGTATGAGCTGCTTTTTTATCCTAGATATCATCTTGATCAGAGTTCACTACTCTGTCGGAAACCTTTGCTTGCAAAACCAATGGTGATGGATGTCTACCAAGATTATATACTGGTGACCTATCGCCCATTTGATGTCCACATATTCCATGTGAAATTATTTGGTGAATTGACACCTTCTAACACTCCAGACCTACAGGTAAAGGTTTATTCTAGTACTTGTTAGGAATAATTATAATCTCTGATATTATTATTCAAATAGTTTTGTACTTGTGAAGTTTCACTTTGTACTCTGAATGAGAGTGCTTTGATGAATCTTTATTCTTCATGCATTTTTAAGTGATAAAATGACAAACAGCTTTCTACAGTACGAGAACTGTCAATCATGACTGCGAAGAGCCACCCAGCTGCTATGCGCTTTATCCCTGGTCAGGTTACTGGAGAAAGTACATTAAACAATCATGTTTCAACTGAAGAAGATCTATTTGACAAGGAGCCTGCAAGGTATGAGTCCGCAAATAATAAGTAGGATTTTATTTGAAATATATGCCACTGAATGGATTCATGTGTTGCTAGATGTTTGATATTGAGAGCCAATGGGGAGCTTTCACTTCTGGATTTAGATGATGGAAGGGAAAGGGAGCTTACTGATTCTGTTGAATTATTTTGGGTTACTTGTGGTCAATCAGAGGAGAAGACGAGTCTAATTGAGGAAGTTTCATGGTTGGATTACGGCTACCGAGGGATGCAGGTAACCAACTTCTAAGTTCCATCCTTTTTTCCCCTTAAGGCGCTGTGTTGCTTTGTAAATGTTTCGTTTTTATTTTCTGCCATTTGTACTTTTCTGATATAGATTCTTGATGGAAGCTCATTTCTACAGGTTTGGTATCCGTCTTCAGGTGTTGACCCTTTTAAGCAGGAGGATTTTTTGCAAGTATGTATATTTTTTTTTTTTTGGTTAAGGCTGTTTCTATTATGGAATGTTGCAGATAGCTCTGAGAAGGACATGCAAAGATCTGTAGAATTTGTTTCTTCAATTATATATATTTTATTTTAATATCTGATTAAGTTTTTAGGTAGCCAATGACTAGAAACTAAATAAAACCGGAAACTACTAATCTGAAATAAAAATAAAAGATGGAACTGGTTTTAGTTTTTTTCCCTCTTGTTGGATGTTAAGTGGTGTTAATGGGATTTATTTGATAGTGATTGAAATGAATGCTCTTGTTCTATTTAGGATGCCGAAAAGACTTAACTTCTTTTTAGCTTTTGGTTCTTCTTGATATCATTATGAGACGGTTATTCGTTGTACATCTCTTATATTATATCTGATCTTAACTTCTTTAATATACGACTTTAAAAGATTACTTTATGAGTTATAATTAAGAAGATAAAAAAAAAAAGAAAAAGGTGGAACAACTTACGCATACCCAAGTTTGTCGAAACGACAAGTTGGTACTTAAAGGTTTTGCAACGCCAAACAGGTACCTTCCTCATGTGCTGTTGTAATTTTGTTTGTTCATAGTAAAAAGACTAAAATCCTTTAAAAGTTTGATATTTTAGTTTTTTTATAAATTTAAAAATTTCTAAAAAACTCTATAGTTTGCTAATTTAACTAAACACCCTTATATATAAAAAAGTTTGTTAATGACAAAAACACCACACCACCTGCAGGCTAGATTCCGGCCACCACCGTCGGAATCTGGCTGGAAATTGCGTTACGACACAAACCTTCAGATCTGTGTCGTAACGTGTCGATCTGGCTTTTTTCGGCCAGATCCGTGGCTGATCTGGCCGGAAAAGACCAGATCTACGGCTAGATCTGGCCATCGTGGCCGCAAAACTCCATTTGCAGCGTCGACAGCCAGATTGGCCGTAGATCTGACCTTTTTCGGCCAGATCACCATGAATCTGGTCAGAAAGGCCAGATCGATGCGTTATGACACAGATCCGATGGGGTCTGTGTCGTAACGCAATTTCCGGCCAGATTCCAGCGGGGGGCCGAATCTCGCACTGCAGGTGGTGGGAGTGTTTTTGTTATTTAACAAACTTTTTATATATAGGGGTGTTTAGTTAAATTAGCAACCTAAAGGATTTTTTAGAAATTTTATAAAAAACTAAATATCAAACTTCAAAGGCATTTTAGTCTTTTCACTGTTAACAAATAAAATCACTAACGCATATGACGAAGATATCTGTTTGTCATTTTAAAATTTTTTAGATATTAATTTATCGTTTCGATAAATTTTGGATATGCACAAATGGTTTGGCCTGAAAAAAAAATCTTGTAAATCTAAATGTAACGTTAATAAATTTTTCTTACCGCGGTTACGTACTGAGAATTGAGATGCTCTAGCATTAATTGCAGTAAAAAAGTGTGCCAGGTCAGAATGGACCACACCCTTCTATTTAAGTCCACGTCAGATATTCATGGGACAAGTAGAACGTCTATTTTCTCATCAAATAAGAAAAAAAATAAAACACCAAGATCGCTTCGGGTCTACGAACAAGACGAGATCTACCATTTCAACATAATATTTCAGATCTAATGATTCATAGACCTCTGTAACAACACAAACCCAACGAGACGACCAAAATGTACATGTCGTATGGATGGCCACAGGTGATCCCACTGGAGCAAGGACAGTGTCCGTCGTCTCAACGGATCAATATTGAAAGTCATCATGGCTTATTACTCGTTGTGTCTCCTTCTCATGTCGAGCTGTGGAGTTCCTCGCGGGTACTTTTTTGAATTTTATGCATTTATTCAGTAGTTAGGGTTCTTAATTTATGTTTTTAATTTGTAAATTTGGGGTTTATTTACAGCACAAAGTGAGGTTAGGGAAATTAAAGGGATTCAGAGTCGGTGCAGAGAGAAGGCGAGAATTTACAGGCCGTGTGGAGTCCCGTGGCAAATTGGTCGCTGTGATTGTAAGTTTCTGGATTTTGTTCTTGTATGTGATTTCTTGAACATTGCGTTGAAATACGTTGACATTGTTTAAATTAGAGTCAATTTCCTTGAATTAGTGTTCACTTTAACTGATTAGTGTAACTTCTAGTGTTTTTTTGATTACGTTGAAATTAACTATTATTTTCTTTTATAAAAGCTATAAAGCAATGCCTTTAACGCTTAATTTGTGTTTTGTTTGCTTGTGCTTGGCAGACGTCATCTTTATTTCTTCACATTTTCAAGGTCCAGTTTACAGAAAAAAGAATACAAGTTGGAGAAAGCATCCTTCTGGTTTGTTATTGGCAAATATATTTCTTGTTCTCAGTGAGCAGGTGCCTTTTGCAGAAAGGGCTTTTCAGTGTAAGTACCCGTGCTTTTTAGTTTGGGTTGATGTTTGATTTCTCTTTTGACTTAAATTTTCAAGGATGTAGAATTTGATTGAAGTCGATTTCTTCTTCCTTATCTTAGGAAAGTTTGTGGAGTTGATTTGATGTTTCTCATTCTGTGTGGTTATTGGGCAATCCAGACACAATAAAATCTTAGTCACACTAAATGATGGTAGAATTTCTCCTCTTCTTTAAGCGACTACACTTTACTGAGGTCGTTAGTGAGTCAGTGCCTCTTGTTTCTGGGTTCTTTATTTGTACTTATGAGAAGAAATTAATAAAAATGAACAGCTGTATGGATGTATCCAATTTATATTAGTCACAGTTTTCGGTGTTTTTCCGTGAGAAAATATATGCTACTTGGAATTTGAATTATTGATATGATGTCGATCTCATGGAGAAAGTGTTGCAATGATTTTTAGGAAAACTGATTGATCTATCAATTATGTTTCGTATGTTGCTTTTGGCTGATTGACATGATGTATACTTGCCAATTTGTTTATGCTTTGATTTTGTATGCAATTCTTCTGAGTCTGATCCTGCTAGTCTCTTGTAATGTTATTTTTCTTTAGGAGCAATATTGTGAGGATAACAACCATATGCTACTTGGACTTTCTGATGGATCTTTATATGGTATCTCATGGAAGGGGAGGTAATCTGAATATGATTCACATTAGCATTTTGAGCATCCAGTGAAATAGCACTAATTTGTAGTATTAGTCTATTTATTTCTTTTAGCTCAGTTTATTTAGTAATATCCCATTTAATTATCGATACTCTTTTCTACAGTTCTTGGAGCATTCGAACTCAATCACTTTCCAGATGATAGCAGCACAGTGACACCGTTACAAAATTCTCTGAGTAATGGCCTTGCGTCTGCAGAGACTTCAGGAGCTTTTGTGCCTGATCTCAAAGTCTCCAGAAGGTGTGCTATCGTTCAGCTGGAGCTTTGCTTTCCAATGAGACTGCTTCTTGTTCTATTTTCTGATGGAAAACTGATGTCATGCTCTATAAGCAAGAAAGGTTTAAAGCACCCGAATTTTTAAAGTTGAAAAAGAGTTGGGTTCTGGTGATGCGTATTGCTTCATGGCGTCGGAGCACCAAATCCTTGCTGTTGGTACCAGAAGGGGATTGTTGAGCTATATGACCTGGGAATCTGCATCACTCATTCGTTCTGTGTCTTTGTATGACTGGGGTAAGGCAAAAAACTGGGCTAACATGTTAGTTTTGAATTAGAACTTATATCTTTTACTGAAGTTTTTATGAGTTTTGAAGGTAAATCTCTGGTATGCCTAATCTAAGGTTTCTGAAATAATATTCACCTCCTCTTAGTCTGTACGTTACATTGACTTTACTCACATCTGTTCTTCAAATCTGTGTGGTGGTCGGTTCAATATAACTACTCTATTATGTCTGATGGAACAGTTATCTTGTTATCAATGGATAGGGGTATGGACCTTTGCTGAATCTGAGGACTGAAGTTATCTGTCCATGGGTTTGTGATTTGTCCAATTTTTATTATGTGACCTACTAAACTGCCCCTCACACTCCATTCCAGTTCACCCCTAACATTCAAACTTCACTCTACGTCTCTACCATATATTAAGGGTGATCGATTCTGTGTACCCTGTATTTTTTGAAGGTCGATTCCAAAGATTTGGAGGGGTAACCGGAACCTAATTTTGGGTACCCCGGTGAACTTAATTACTCCCTTACGTTTTGAAAAATAAAAAATACACCCCAAAAAATTTCATACACCCCAATAGTTTACCCAGATACTTGGACCTTGGTTCCAATTTTCTAGATCCGTAACCAGATTTTAATGGCTCACCCTTACTATATAAAGCAATTTAATTTATAGGCGGTGATTCTGAAGAGAAATTAGATGATGGTATCGCAGTGCAGTATAGGTGGTTAGGTAAAAAGGTTTGGTGCACCCAAAAATCAATTAAGTATAGTTGATGTGAAATAAAGAAGTGATGAAGTTTTGATTACAAGGGGTCCTAATGCTTAACTGAAATGTCGAGGGACCCAATTCATATCCCAAATGTTTTGATCTCTGTCTCGTTCACCACCTTCAACTATTATCTTCTATTTCTTGACTAATTATTTGGATTTTTATAATGCTCTCATTTTGGTGGTTTTGATGCGGACATGCTTCTTGTTTCTATCCACTAAATTCTACTAACAACCTTCTTCATCTACTTCTCACATATCTTGTTTTTAATTGAGTCAACTATCAATTTTGCCACTTGCTTGATTTGCATTAATGGAATCATGGATTTCAAAAGTTCACCCAAACCCAACTACCCAGCTTCAGCCATTTTATTTATTTGATGGGCCTTGGAATTAGGTCGGGTTAGTCCCAGTTTCGAATATCCAGTTGGGGGGTTTAGCAATAAACTTCTAATTCTTGGGTTGGGCTCAAAGACCACATCGAAGAGCCCAATAGTTAAAATCCCATTGGAGAACATAATGTCCATAGTGAGTCAACTCTAGTCAAAGCANAAAAACCACTAACTCATCCCAATAAAATTCCACAGTCAAAGAAACACACATGTTACTACATTCCAATCCCATACAATATCTCACAAATTTTCTAGCAGCTAAATTTGAAATTAAAAGAGCAATGACGCAATCTTAACCCAACAATATGAAAACGAACAAAGTGAAATGCAATGCAACCATTCAACTTATGGACATTTTCTAAGTGATGGGTCACATCAGTTGACCATCAAACTTAAACGTAGGATTAGGAGTGTGATTAGCAATAATTTACAAAGATTATATGATAATTATGTACGAAAATTATTATTACTGTATATATTAGTGATGTCAGAGGCTAAGAATCCTAAGATAAAGTGATAAAAGCAGTTGATTGTTATCAAAATATTTTGTCATGTTGAATGGTAGTCCCAAACTACCATACGGCTTTCTGTTTCTCGTAAAGGTAGAGTGACTGTTATTCCCAGAATAGAAGGAAAAAGAACCCGAAATGGAGAAAATATAAATTCCATGATTAATGTAAAATATATAGGTTAAACAAGATTACTTACCTCTGAAATATTATTAGTAGCAGCCCAATAGATGATGTAACAAAGGCCATGAGCGGTGAAGAATGCCATGACGATGTGGCCAAGCCATATATGATACTTGATGCTAGCCTCCGATGTTAAGCCAAAAAGTGGTAACACCGACGACCCCCGTGCCACCGGAAAGAAGAGAAATGCAAGACCTATGTTTCCAACAACACCTAGCCACAATCCTGTACTGTCCAACTTTGCTTGCCATCTGCCAAAACCGTCACCAATCTTTAATATTATTGTTAATTAATGTTTAAATCAAGAGTCAAATCAAAGGTTTATACGTAATTATTAAGAATAACATTACACTTTCTCCCCTTTCTCAGCCGCTGATTGTGGGGTGATATGAACAAAGCTATTATGCAGGTCATTCGAGAGAGACCAAATCAGGAGTGCTATGAACATGACAGAGAAGCCCAATTCTATGCCGGAAACAATCCCTAGAGGACCTTTTACGAGCATCGGCTTTTTCCATAAGGTGAATATATTTTTTCTGCCGTCAGTGTAGTCGATACAAAACCAATAAAAAAAAAAAAAGTATATTAGTCAGAATTGAACTTTGTATTTCCCATCAAAAGAGCTAAAAGGCTGACTACCTTTCCAGTTTATAGTCATTCAATTTCTTTCCAAGATGGTGGTATATGCAGGCCGAGACAGCAATGAAGAGAGTGGGAAAGGTGTAAATCAAAAGCGTTACACCTGTAACACAAACCACATATCATAAATCGCTAACAAAATAGATGTTAGGGCGCCAGCACCATAAATATGAAGATGAAGCAATATGTTGCACAACAGTGAGATCTAATTTTCAAGTGTTCTAACCTTGTATTCCAAAAAACTTAGAAGAATTATACTTTGCTCGTAAATAAGGCAACCATTTTTGGAAGTAAGTGTTGGTAGACATCATGATCCACATCATGAGAGTGCCCAAAAACACTACCATCAACAGTAGCTTTATCCCAGCGCGAACTGTTCGTATTTCTCCATGAGATGAAGCCATCTCTCTCTCTCTCTCTTTCTCTCTCCTAAATTATACGGGAGAATCTTTGTGGAGAATGTAAGTGGAATGACTATATATAGGAGAGAATTTGTAAATAATATTTTAATGCATGTGAAAAGTAGACTTTCGGATTTGTGTATTTCAGAAAAAAGCATAATTCACGACACGTCAGTATTTTTTTTAATCTGTTTATCATTTTGATTAAATATAAGTATTACGTGGCAAATGAACAAGTTCACAAGGTTTTAGGGTCAACATTTGTGGGCCTTATGAGACACGTGGATACGATTACCTCCCTCCAAAATGCAAGCTTCATGCAACCCTTGATGACGTGGCTGATAATCTAAGCAAATAAACCATACACTATACAGAAGTTATGATTTTAGTCCCTGTTACTTGGAATTTGAATTATTGAATATGATGTCGATCTCATGGAGAAAGTGTTGAAAATGATTTTTAGGAAAACTGATTGATCTATCAATTTATGTTTCGTATGTTGCTTTTGGCTGATTGACATGATGTATACCTGCCAGTTGCCAATTTGTTTATGCTTTGATTTTGTATGCAATTCTTCTGAAGTCTGATCCTGCTAGTCTTCTTGTAATGTTATTTTTCTTTAGGAGCAATATTGTGAGCGATAACAAACATATGCTACTTGGACTTTCTGATGGATCTTTATATGGTATCTCATGGAAGGGGGAGTTAATCTGAATATGATTCACAGAATCACATTAGCAATTTTGAGCATACAGTGAAATAGCACTAATTTGTAGTATTAGTCTATTTATTTCTTTTAGCTCAGTTTATTTAGTAATATCCCATTTAATTATCGATACTCTTTTCTACAGTTCTGTGGAGCATTCGAACTCAATCACTTTCCAGATGATAGCAGCACAGTGACACCGTTACAAAATTCTCTGAGTAATGGCCTTGCTTCTGCAGAGACTTCAGGAGCTTTTGTGCCTGATCTCAAAGTCTCCAGAAGGTGTGCTATCGTTCAGCTGGAGCTTTGCTTTCCAATGAGACTGCTTCTTGTTCTATATTCTGATGGAAAACTGATGTCATGCTCTATAAGCAAGAAAGGTTTAAAGCAACCTGAATTTATTAAAGTTGAAAAAGAGTTGGGTTCTAGTGATGCTGTATGTGCTTCAGTAGCGTCGGAGCATCAAATCCTTGCTGTTGGTACCAGAAGGGGGATTGTTGAGCTATATGACCTGGCAGGATCTGCATCACTCATTCGTACTGTGTCTTTGTATGACTGGGGGTAAGGCAAAAAACTGGGGCTAACATGTTAGTTCTGAATTGTAGATCTTATATCTTTTACTGAAGTTTTTATGAGTTTCTGAAGGTAAATCTCTGGTATGCCTAATCTAAGGTTTCTGAAATAATATTCACCTCCTCTTAGTCTGTACTGTTACATTGACTTTACTCACATATGTTCTTCAAATCTGTGTGGTGGTCGGTTCCGATATAACCATACTCTAGTATGTCTGATGGAACAGTTATCTTGTTATCAATGGATAGGGGTATGGACCTTTGCTGAATCTGAGGACTGAAGTTATCTGTCCATGGGTTTGTGATTCGTCCAATTTTTTATTATGTTACCTACTCTATAGAAAGCTTTAAGTCAGTGGATTTTTGCCTGTTTTATCTGTGGTTTATCTGAATAGTAGTTATACTGAAAAAATGAATATAAAAGAAAAAAAAAAAAAAAAAAAGGAAAAATGTAAGGGAAAGAAAAATGAATATGAGAGTGATGTATTTGATTTATTTTGTATTTTGCAGATACTCAATGGATGATACTGGTTCTGTCAGTTGTATTGCATGGACACCTGATAATTCTGCTTTTGCTGTTGGGTGGAAGTCAAGAGGACTTACTGTGTGGTCTGTTTCCGGGTGTCGTTTGATGTCAACAATCCGTTAGATTGGCTTAAGTTCTGTATTTTCTCCAGTTGTGAAGCCAAAACAAGACTGTAAATATGAGCCACTAATGAGTGGCACCTCGCTGGTTCAGTGGGATGAATATGGATATAAGCTTTACGCAATTGAGGAAGGATCTTTGGAGCGAATTCTTGCATTTTCCTTCGGCAACTTTTGCCTTAGTAGAGGAGTATCTGGCATGACATATGTCCGTCAAGTAATTTATGGTGAAGATAGGTTATTAGTTGTGCAGTCTGAAGACACTGATGAACTTAAGATTATACACTTAAACCTTCCAGCTATGCACCCAAACTACAAACTATAATTAATACAATAAAATTTTGTCATTTACCATATGGGTGTCTCTAATATGCTTTTGCTTTGGTCCAGGTTTCTTATATTTCCCAGAATTGGCCTGTCCAGCACGTGGCAGCTAGCAAGGATGGAATGTACTTAGCAGTTGCTGGTCTTCATGGGTTAAAATTATATGATATACGGATGAAAAAGTGGCGAGTGTTTGGAGATATCACTCAGGAACAGAAGATTCAGCGCGAAGGTTTGCTGTGGCTGGGAAAGATTATTGTTGTCTGCAACTACATTGATTCATCTAACACGTGAGCTATATTATTCTATTTATGTCTTTTATGGATAATTCTCTAAGGGTTGGCTTTATCTGTTGAAATATATTAATAAGTTATGAATATACCTTTACCTTTTTTAATGAAGGTAGTATCTACTTTCCTGGTTGCGTCATATTTGATCATCAATTAAATATTATGTGTGTTTGATTTAGCTGTTGGTATTCCATTAATGTTTTGGAGGTCAAGATTTGAAAAATAAATCTGTTAAACTTAAGGTATTCTGATCTGGTTAGTGGTCTTTATATTCTGTATATCTGAGTTTGTAAAGTAACTTGATATTTGGCTTTTAGTTGGACCCGGAGTTGGAGTTTGACCGTGAGGTATATCCTCTGGGTCTTCTTCCAAATGCTGGTGTTGTTGTTGGTGTTTCCCAGAGACTGTCATTTTCAGCAATCACAGAGTTTCCATGTTTTGAACCAACTCCTCAAGCCCAAACTATATTGCATTGCCTACTTCGGCATCTTCTTCAGGTATCACTGGTGCTGCTTTTTTCTTTTTCTGTATATAGAAGGTCCTTGACCTTTTACTATTAGTGAAAGTCTTTTCTAATTATTTTTCATGTATGGTTTTCCAGAGGGACAAAATCGTGGAGGCTTTACGGTTGGCACAGTTATCTGCAGAAAAGCCTCATTTTTCACATTGTCTGGAGTGGCTTCTTTTTACTGTATTTGATGCTGAAATTTCCAGGTATGTTTTATCAGATGGAAGATTGAATATATAAGTGTGATTTGAACATTGTTGTGCTCATGACTCCCCAAATTTGAAAAGATAAGTGCCCAGTTATCTTGATTCACAAAGTTATTAACTTTTTCCATGTTTTTTTTTCCTTTTTTGACTCACAAAGTTAAAAACTTTTTCTATGGTTTTTGTGTTGGACATTGGCATGTTGATTGCATGTATTTTCTTGGAATTCTGCTTGACCATTTTATACTCTGTTCTTGCTTGCTATGTACTCTTACTTTTCTTTATGCATATATCGTGTCTATCTAATGTAGTGTTAACTTCTTACAGGCAAAATATTAACAAGAACCAGATCTCAATCCCTAAACGTTCTGCCAACCGCTCTCTTTTGGAGAAGACTTGCGATTTGATTAGAAATTTTCCCGAGTACCTTAATGTCGTTGTCAGTGTTGCAAGAAAAACTGATGGCCGACATTGGTCAGACTTGTTCTCTGCTGCTGGAAGATCAACAGAGTATGCTCCTTTACTTGTTAATAACTGTTTTTGGTTTTGTCCACATGCTTGAAGGGTATCACAAAACAATATATTTAGGAAGTGTAGCTGGACAAACTGAGGTTATTTTAATGTGCCAAAAGTTGAAGTTAGAGGTGGTTTGACCATCATTTTTTCCCTTAAGAGAGTTCCTCCAAATCATGCAGGTGGTATTTCGTTAGTTCCCATGGCTTATTCTGAATAATCAATTCACACTTGGGAGGTTATACCCATTTTTGTTTGTCAACCTAAGAAGTCCTTTTTTTTGTTGTCAGTGAATGGACTAGTGAATAGAGAAGTAGATGTTCTTTATTGTTTTGTCGCATCGCATAAAATTGAGGAAATAAAATTCTTATAGGAATTAATTTGATTATATATTTATGTCATACTTATTGCTTAGTAGTGTCAGACATAGAGGCAAGTCATAATTAATTGTTTAACGTAAGCAAATGAGATAAACTTTCACGGAAGGTATCTGCTTGCCGAAGCATTTTTTTAGTTTTGCTGTTATTCTTTGTTTGATTTTGCTGACCTAAGATACCAATGAAGTCTTAATTGAAGGAACAAATGGAGTTATTGGTTTTCTCAAAAGATTTGTAGATGGTCATTTTTCCTCTTTACTCTACCGAAGTGCTGGTGTGAGTTTTTGTGAACATTGCTGGATGTGAAAATTTCTTTTTTGAAGCAAGTATTCACATGTTCTTCATATATTATATTTGCTATAATGTTGTGTTTTAAGGGGAAGAAAATGAAGAAAAAGTTAAATGTGTTTATTATTTGTTATTTAATAGGTTGTTTGAGGACTGCTTCCAGAGGAGATGGTATCGGACTGCAGCTTGCTATATTCTTGTAAGATTTAAAATCTCTCTTTGCTGAGGAAGAGTTACAATTTTCTTGCTCAAATATATTAGGCCCCCTGACTGTTAGCAATTTCATGTCTCTGTACAATTAAGAAAGTACTTGTCAATTTCTTTCTACTGTACCAGTGACAACTGCTCTTCAGTACAATCTACACTCGTTAGTTGAAAATCTTGCTGTCAGTCTTCTTTCATTATCAGATGGGTATGCATTTTAATTGGCAAATGATAATTGACACATCACTGAATACAGAGATGCTACAGACACCAAAAATTGGTATCGAAAATTTGCACCGAAATATGTGGCCCCTGACTCGGACGTCGCCACGTAGGACACGATAGAAGACTTTCGTAAATGGATGTTCGGACGGCCATCCGTCCTTCATGGACGGCCATTCATTCAGGAATGGACAGCAATCCATAACAAATATTTAAAAATAAACTAAAAATCAATGGATCACCGTCCAAATACTAGGGACGGATGTCCCTTTAATATAAATGGCCGTTCAAATTATATGGACGGTTGTCCAAATAAGCATGTCCATCTAGTGTGGACGACCGTCCTTATAAAAGGGGCAACCGTCCACAATAGATGGACTGGCGTCCATTTAGTGTTAAAATTTAAAAAAAAGAAAAAAAAAATAAAACAAAACATTAGATGGACGCCAATCCATCTGGTGTGGACGGTCGTTCACATGAGATGGACTAGTGTCCATATTATGTTAAAAATTTAAAAATTTCAGAAACAATTACATTTTTTTCCAAGACATTTAGGGATTTTGTTCCAAAACTTGCATAAAAAACGCCGAACAATAGAAACACCATATCTGCAGCCGTTTAAGCCACACTATTTGCCGCCGTTATTCACTTCTTCATCTTCATCGTTTGGGCTCCGACTATGAGTATTTTTTTGTTTTTTTATTGAACGAAGTTAAAAACTGTGATATGGAGGCTTTTCTTTAACTTTCATTTATTGTGTGCAATTTAGAGATTTACACAATGTGTAATTGTTTGTTCCTTAATGATTTTTCTGTTACTTTCTAAAAAATTGATAGTAGAAGTTAACAGAGCCAGTTGTGTGAATTGGGCAGAAACTTAACATTTTGGGTACCATTTCTGCTCTAAAATTCTGGGTTAATGGATAATTGTAGTAGCAAACATTATGTATATCAAGATTGTATATCAGTGTCTTTCCATTCCAATGATTCTGCACAAACCAGAAATTATTCTAGTTTAAAGAACTTTTATGATATATGATGTATCACTTGTTTTTCTTTGCTCGTTCAAATTTGCTAAAGGTAATTTCTAGATATAATTTCACATGGGCAGAGATTAGCTCAAAGTAGGAATCGGAGGGCTCCCTTCTCTAAAACAAACTTGAATTCATTATTTCTAACAGCTCATCCAACATCACCAACACAAAAGAAAAACCTAAGCCTCTTTGCTGACGTTTGTGGTACCCGTTTTAAGTCATTTTCCAACAGTTTTGATGATGCTTTGATTATCAGAAATCTAGGTTAATTGATTCTCAGTACTCTTATTTTCATATGAAGTCTATTTAATATAACATTCAAAACTGTAGCTACTATTGCTGAGAATTTGGGTTTTTTTATAGTTAGTTATATATTATAAAGTGAAATAATAGGTTGATTAATTAATATTTCCATTCACTCATCTCAAAATCTGAGTTAAATGTTCTGTCGACATAAGCATTCTGCATTTATCTGCAGCTTGAATTGATAATGCACGAAGTAGAACAAGTTTCTTTACCAAGGAAGCTCCAATAATTGTAGTTCACATATTTACATTAACATTTAAACATTGTGGCCAGCCAAGGTCCCAAAGATGGTACATTGAGATGTAGATGTAACATGGATAAACAAAGGGAAGAGACAATCTTGATATACATAATGTTTGCTACTACATGAAAAAGTTGAGTTTGGCAGAGTTAGTTTGCAAGTCTTTGGCAGAGTTGGTGATGATTGCAATAAGTTGAGTTTGGCACAGTTAGGAATTTGAGAATTGTATTCTTTGTTGCTGAGCTCACATTTACGGGGGCTTATTGTGGGTTGTTGTGCTTCAAGTAACCATACAATGATAATTTTTGTACATGGAAATTCATGTTTTTGCCATAAGATAGTGTTAGTAACTGCACAGTTTAAGTTAGTTTAGTTGGTTCTAATCTCACTGAAAATGAAACTTTGACTTGAGTTTGAGTTTGAGGAAGGGTGTAAGTTTGGTTATGACGATGATTACTTGACATGTTAGATGTCATTTGAAGATGCTCCGTTGCCATTAAAACGGACGTATGTGGACAAACATAGTGTGCTGGGCACTATTACTTAGTTTATTGTTTTTATCTGGAAAGGCATCATTATTGCTGTTAAAGTCCAATTACCAGGGAGGCTCAAAATTCATTTCAAGCTCAGCCAAATGAACCTGCTCAAACCACACCTTATCTTGGAGTTTCACAGTAGCATCATAACTCTTTTGATCAGCTTACCAGTGTGCCTCAATCTGCCATTCGTTCCTTGACAAACACTACCTCCCTGGTAATTGGACTTTAACAGCAAGTTGTTTGTGTCTATTGTCATTATATTGAAAGACACAGCACAAACACTTGAAATTGTAGACTCTAAAGAAGCAAACAAATATAAACTTCAAACATGATTTTTCATTATAGTTGTCTTTTTTTAATATCTGCAGAATTTCTTATGGTTATGGATATGTTTTTTTAGGAAGTTGCTAGTTTTAGAAGAAAGCAGAAAATGGTAAGAGCAAAAAATACAACCATTCCTCATGGAGGCACATCGTCATCTGGAGTCCAATTTCGAGACGTGCAACATAAAAAACAATACAAAGAGATGGTGAAAAGAGATATTTGTCTTGGAAGAAGTTTGGATTTAGGATTTATAGCAAGTTTGGGTTTAGGTGATGAGATTAATGGTTGGATCCGTAATTTGAAATGGGACCAGTTGGTGAGTATTAGATATGACGAATATAAGCATTTGATTTATGAGTTTTTTAGTAGTTTGGAAGTTGTGGAGATAGGCTAATGATTTTTCGGCATATACTATGTATTTTAGATTAAAGAATCAAAATTGTGTAGTGAGGCCACATGATTTAGCAATCTGGATAGGGATTGATTTTGAAGGTTTGGATAAAATATCAAGAACGTGGGATTCCAAAAAAGCTTGGACGGATGTTTCTGGAATAGGGGTTTACCATCCACATAGGTGTAAATCTACAAAGTTAAAGAATCCTGCCATGAGAGTTTTTCACAGATTTCTGACTTTCACATTTAATGGCAGGAAACAGACAAATGGAAATGTGACAGTCAATGATTTATTGTTGAAGCAACAATAACAAGGAAGCAAGTAAATTCAGCAAAGTTATTGATTAAGAAGTTGGGAGAGATTAAAGCAAAAAAAGGAGAAATTTATTAGGGGATGCTTGTTATGCTAATATGTGAGAAGTTGGGTTTAGAGATCACCCTTTCCGATGAAGCCAATAAGATAACATTTTCTGCAAATAATTTGTTGGGGGATGTCACATTGTGTAAAATGGGTTTGATTAAAAAGAATGTATCAGGAGAATAGTTTCTGATTAGGGATGAAATGGAGGAAGAGACAACGGTTCAGGAAGGTGTCCCTGTTCCAGAAGGGGAAAATCAAGGACGAGTTATGTGCGCAAAAGAAGAAGAAAGAGTATTGAACCTGGATATTCTCAGAATGTAGAAGAAATGTCTTCTCATACCTTAGACGAAATAGTAAGCAGATTTGAGTGGATCGAAAGGTTTCAAGAGGAGAGTTTTTCACGTATTGAGAGGAAAATGCAAGAACAATAGGATCAATTGCAAAGCGATTTCAACTCGTTTGCATCAAGAATAGAAGAAATGGTTGACATCCTTGGGGAACGCATGACAGAAATATCCAGCATGATGAAGAAATTGTCAATAGCCTCCTCCTCCTCCAGTCAGCCTCCACCCTCTACACTATGATGAAGAACTTCTCAACAACCTCCACCTTCTCAACATCCTTAGGGAACGCACTATGAATGTTAATTTTTATTATGTTTAGTTCAAATACTAAATTATATGTACACAAATATGTTAATTAATAAAGTTTGATTTCACAAGATGTTCTCAATTAGCTAAACTTCTCAATATCATATGAATGTTAATTCTCAGTATGACTGTTATGTACGAAGATTATATTTGCCACAGTATCATATCATTAATTATTGTTCAATACATATCTGAATGCTCATGTATATGTAATACTAGACATTCCAAAAGACATATCAAAATTAAAATCTCAAATGAAATGTAGAATAATATATACTGAAATGTGACGATAATATATACTGAAAACATTTAGAATAAGAATAAGATACATTTACGTTATTATAATGAATTCAGAACCCTACAACCAACAATCTACTCTTACCCAACCAGCAACAAAAATAATTAAAAAAAAACAACTGAATCAGCATATAGCTCAACTGCATTCGTCAAAAATTAACCATAATACGAATAATTTGTACCGAATACAAATGTATATGCTTCAACCGGTTAACGATATTAAATCTCTCCCAACAAAACATGTTCATCATTTACATCCTCCTGCCCAGAACATAAATTACTTTTTTTCTGCGAGATTTTGAACCAGACCAGTGGACAACTGTTAATGTTTAATAACCACAATTCAGCACATGTTATAGAAAACTTAAAGTTTTTACAATTATACAACATACATAACACATACCTGAGTAGCAACAACATCAGTTGACAACACTTGAGTTCTCGGTATACTTTCAACAATGTTGTCTCGCTCTGCTGATGATTCTTTCCCTATAAAGTAGCATAACACATTAATAATCAAGTAAATATTATTATAAACTTCAAAGAAGTAAATAATGTTTCAAAAAAAAATGTCATGTAAGAATAGGTGTATAACTCATACCAATTATTTGTTTTCACAATTTTTTATTTTTAGCCCTACGTACAATTTCGTCAACCTTCAATTGCTTTCTTTTGTATGGAGGATGACCTTTGCTACGAACTACACGTGGACTAATAATTGGACTATTCCCCTCTTTGGGAGGACTGTCCCCCTCTTTACTACCAAGCCCTCCCTCACTTTCCTTCTGTTTCAACTTATTTCTCATGCCAATCATAAATTCCATCAACATGTTACAGACTTCCTCATTGTTTGATGT